TGTATGCTGTTAGTTCCATTTAAACATAATCAGAAGATTTAGATACTGTGATCATCAGTGGTAATGTTTTATGTGGCTCACATGTGTCACTAGGAAAGGGTTAATCCCTGTGTCTGACATTCATCCACAGTTTAAGTCATATTAGCTCATCAGTTCTAGTCATTATGCCAGAATTCAACTTCCTGTCTTTGGAGCCGAGTGACCAAACTGAAATTTTACACAAAGTATTATCAAAGTAAAATTATAGTCAGATCCATAACTGTATGTTTACGATCGCACAGTGAAGACAGCAGAAAAATAAATAGCCTATTTAGTATTTGCATATGTACAATCATGTAGCGTTTACAGAGTCTGTAGTTTGGTCAATAGCAAACACGCTGCATGATAATCATGTTTGAGCACGCTTTGCTTGCATGCAGGTAAACAGTCAGTGTGGGGAACAAAAAAGAAATCGCACTTGCCAAAATGTATTCTCTGTGTTTTTCTGCACTTGTAAACACTGACAGGCAGGAGGAAATCAAAATTGTGGCATGGATCACCACTGGTTACACATCAAGCCAGCAGTCTAACTTATGAGTTGCCATATTGGTATTTGTTTGACTCTTCATTTAAACATTGTTAAGTTTAAAAAAATGTTTATTTAATCACCATGTCCAGGCTGAGATACAACTGTTAACAAACTCCTTGTAATTTTACCTTCAGACCTAAACTACAAGCATCACTTTCAATGTCCCTTAGGTGAATTTAATCCAGTAATATCTATCCAAGCAGCTATTTATACATACAGTAACGTCACACATCTCCTGTGCAGATGTCCTGAGGTATTAAGAGAAACAAAAGCAAAAAAAATTTTTTTGGATGGTTGAGGAAAACTGGGTCGAAGAAAACAGGATGATAAAACACAGTCTCTCCTGGAAGAAACACTTTAAATATATTAAAACCTACAGACTTATGATATATGCCAATACTTTACCCAAAATTCCCACTGAAATGAGTGTGATTCCTGTGTCCAAAGAAATATGCACATCCCTTCCTGCTGAGCAAAGAGGGCCAATTTCTGGAATGAAGCCTGTCCCTTGTCCACTGCCCTTGCAGTGATTTGATGTGACTGGATGGAGTTCAGAGGGAAGGGTAATATCTGAGAGCCCAACAGAGACAGACCAGAGCTGATGTTTCTGAATCACTGGGTCAGTGGGTCACAGACATCACTGGACATCTAGAGAGCCAACAACTCTCTGTGTTTTTTTTTTTTTCAGAGCTCCCGAGGAATCGCTCATGATTGCCAAATGCAGCTGTTGAGAACCGCGACTGTCTCAGCAACACACAAACACGCAAACTCAGACACATACGCAGACTCACAGTGTGCTGATACAGGAGTAAGCCCCTCTGAGAGTTGTACACACAGAGCACAGACCCTCTGATACAGAGGAGCACCTAGAGACTGAGGCCGTGTTTAAACTCCATTACCGCCAACGACTCTCTAATTAAACCAATGTTTTAATTAGGATTTGGACAACCAGGAACGAGGAGGGATAATAACGTTCATTTATCCAACAGAGAGGGTGTATTTCACACAAGTTACACCTACAATATGCAGGGTGGACAGCTTTGTATTTGATCTGCCATTTTAAGCAGTACATTGCTAAGTGTGACGCAGGCGTCAATATTTATCAGTTTTATAGGAACACAATAGAAGCAAAGTAGACTATTAGAAGTCTGCGATATGAAATCTTACTCATGTAAATGTTCAAAAGTTTACTTAACAAGATGCAGTTAAAGTATGTTAGAAACTGCATGACCACAAATAGATTAATCAGCTTTCAAATGTCATTTTTCAGTACAGTTAACTACAAGTTAAGATTGCAGATTGATGCAGTGGTGTTGTTTCCTCTCTAGTATACTTCAGAATTTGACCAAAATACAATCACTGATTAAATTTCCTCTGTTGCTCTCCAGCACTGGTTTGCATTCTAGTGATTTGAGAGTAAAACCTGCAGGGGGCTGATAGAAGCTCTCAGCTAAACAAGGAGGTAATGGTCTTGATTGAGGCATAGTAGACTGACCAGGTCTGAAATGCAGAATAACAAAATTTTAATGACAGCTTAACGGGTTCAGCCAAGAGTCAAACTTGGGAGAAAAATCTTTTATTTACTCCAGTCTGCTTCACCATGAACACTTAAAGGCTTTAAAAAAAGGAGGAATATGTTGGTTTGTTGAATGTGTTGCCATGAATGCCGAATGAAGGTAATTACATTTTAAGGTCGTTGTGTAGTAGCTCTTGTTGTGGCCACTAAGTGAGCTGCAGTCAGCATCCTGTTGCTTGCACTAATGCTAGGTATGTAGGCCTGGGCTAACATACTAGGCAAAGCAGTGATAATGCATAACAATGAACAGAACCGACTGAAGTCATGTTGATAAGTTACTAAAGGTACATTGTTACTGTAGTCCGACTGTATATGTAAGACAAGAAGCACTCAGCTGGAAAACTTCACCATTGCAGCTCACTCTCTCGGCAGTATTTACTTTTAAAGGAATTGTAACGTGTTTTTTATATATTAATTTTGTTTTCTTTATCTTTTTAAACATACTTTAAGAAGTTTGGAGTGCAATAAAAATCACATGAGGATTGCATGACAGATATTTACTTTTATAACGCAAACATTATGCAGGAGTAGTGGATGTAATAGCAGTAGAAGTAGGCAGCTCTTTCTCCTGATGATCTCTTTAAAGATGTAACACATTCTGGGGTCAGCTTGAAAGAAAGGCAGCTGTGAAATGTAAAAGTGAGGTCACAGGTCAAATATGACATGATATTTACATGCAAACACCTGTATCACTTCCTAAATGCTGTCAATACTAACAAAGGCGGTAGAATTTTAAACATAGTTTTAAAAATGTTTGACCTTATTTGACCTTGAAGAAGAGGTCAGAGGTCCAAAGCAAGTGATGTGACTACATGCCAGTAAGAAACACTTTTAAATAACTCTATAGAGCATTGTTATCACTTTGACCTTCAGCACAATCTATTGACCTTGAAGGAGAGGTCAGAGGTTAAATGTGATATGATAGTTCAAATCTTTATAAGGTACTTTCTATATGTTTGCAACACACACCACACTTTTAAGAACCATGGTTTCTCAGTTATGACGCTTTTTGTTTATTTATGACCAACAAATCATTAAGTTGAACTTGAACACCTCAATGGATGTAAACCAAATTTTAATGGATTGTTAACATGACCTCACTCTACACCCCTACAAAGTTTAATCAGGATGAGTTCAAAGCTTTTTGAGATATCGTGTTTACAGCCTTAATGACACAGAGGTAAGTTTATGCTGTGGCTGAGCAGTATTTTTCTCAGCCATACTAACTTCCGGTAATAAAGGTGAAGAGCCACCTTCACCTTTATTGTACAGGCTTGGGTACAAAAATCAAGAACTTTCTGTTTCTCTTCGTATCATTAATGGGGCTAATATTTACTATATATATTTCCTTTTTTAGTGCACTATTTGTCTTATGCGTGAATATCCATGTGGATTGAAAATGTTACTAACCGTGATTCACCCCAATGAGAACAGCTGGCTTGGTCACATCTCTTTGCAAGATTTCAATGTTATGGTGTCCGACACAGCACAGAGATGTCCAAGGCGTCCTTCATTAAGGGCTAACACCTTAATGAGGTTAGTTAGCCTACATAAGTGGAGCGCGCCCTGTAAGATTCAAGTGAAATGGCAGCACGGACTCAGAGATATGCTGTTATTCTCCTTGATATTTATTAATATCCGTCCTTTAATTAATTAATACATCACCAAACATAAAGAAAGTACAGAATATGTAAAAAAATATATACGTATTTATAAATATATTCCTAAAACAATTGTCAATTCAATTTCTTGGTTACAAACAGCCATTAAACCCTCTGTTTATATCATTTTTTATATATAAATTATTGACTCTCCTCACTGGTGTAATTAAAGATTATTTAGACTGCCACTCATCAGTGCTGCATCACTAACATCGTGTAGTTATGTCTGACTGTGAGAGGCGATTGGTTGACGAACATAAATGGTTTTATAAAAGTGTTATACATATGTTATAAAACATTGCCATCTGTTTGTCTTTGTAAAAGTGGAATCACAAGATTTTGTGTGTTTGTTTTTTGTGTGGTGTGTACTGGAATCCACTGTGCAGTGAGCCTCTATTTGTTGACATTAGCAGATTGTATTTCTAAGGTGATTCTCACCAGTTTTACGCACTGCTGGTGCTGAGGAGCAGAAAAGGATGAGACTTAAAGGTGATTGGATTTTCCTGGAAAATCTATCCAGATTCATCGAGATTGAAAAGGCTGAGAGGAATTCAGGGAAATGTCCAGATTTTTATGTGACATTAAAATCTGTTCACACATTTGCCAATAAGTGCTTAGTGGATAAAGATTGCTGTGTATTTTTAGGTACAAAACCTTTATTTGATTTATAAAGTATACATGCATTTTTTAAATTGGGGGCATTGGGGTGATGCCGAAAATAGTAAACGTATTCATTTATTTATTTTAGGCAATAATTCAGAACTGACAGCCTTTCCCAATAGCACTCAACCTTTCTAAGAATACTGATAATGGATGCTGATAAATGGGTTGTATCCAGTCCCTCATGATGACACACGTCATGGGTGTTTACTGTTTTTCTTATATATATTTGCTGTATGTATTTATTATAATTCAGGTGTGACACTTGTGGTTTCATCTGAGTTATTGGTTTTCTTTTGGAGGTGGGTCTTACTACTACTTTTATAAATAAAGTGTAAAAATGATTTGTTAATGTAGGCACACAAAAGAAAAATATCTCCCTTATTAGTTTTTAACCATGCCTTCATGAACATTTTGTGGAAGCAGTTTTGTCACTGAATGTAATTAAGAATAAATATTAATGTTTCTTTCTCTTCTCCCCCCTCTTCCCTCTCTCTGGGTGCCTCTCTGTCTCTCTTGTTCAACGCGTTCTCAGCGTCAGATGGCGTGCCAGTCCAAAAGGATGGGGAACAAGTAAGTCTTCAGTGATTCCTCCTGCTCATCCGTGTTGTTGACTTCCTCTGACAGTGAACTGTTTTCCACTCCACCTGAGGAACCAACATGGCCACACGATGAGCTGTAACACCAGTGCTTATGCTAGTAGATTAGCGAAGTAGATCACGCCATGGCAATGTCAGTCGCTCCCGCTACACTTCCCTCGCCAAGATGGGGTGGTGTGGCTGGATGACTGAATAATCGCTGGTTTGGTTGGCTTATTGCTGTTGCTAGGATGTCTGAAGCTTGTTATAGCTGTCTGACAGAGTCACTCCTCAGTGCTGGTTCAAAGCAGAACGGCAGAGGCATCACTCCTCTCTTTCTCCAACTTCCTACACATCATTATCACTGTACATTTTCCTCTCCTCTCCTCTCCCGCTGCATTACTGATCTCGTGCTCTAAAACTGATGCCTCTGAGAAAGGACACAGGAGCAGGATCCATTTTGGACTAAAGTGTAGAGACCTTCACTTTTCCACCAAATGCACTGTGGACTGATTGCATCATTTATTTATGCGTCGTGCCCCAGAATGCCCCCGTGGTTCTGCAGAGAGGGGAAAAAAGACACACACACACACAAACACTTTCTATACATATATATCAGTGTTGTCAGGGCTATTGGAAAAGAACATAGGGAAAGCTGCTCCAGGCAGCCCAGCTCTCTCCTCACACCCACTCCTGTGAATGGAGAGCGAGACAGGGACGACCAGAGAGCGAGTGATGGAGGAAGTGGGAGCAAAGAATAGAATTACATGAGGGAAGGAAGAGGCAGACATTGATTAACATAAAGCATCTAGATGTAGCTGAAGGAGATTATAAACACTCCCCTCTCATCACACTCTCATTATTATATTATCTTAACCTAGAATTGAATTACATAATCTTTACATTTTACTCTATTGACCACTGAAGATAATTAACAAAGTTTTGCAGTTTTTCGATAAAGTGCTTGACGTGTAGAGAATAAAGCACTAGAACGTGACTAGCAGAGCAGTCAGTAAGACTAACAAAGAACTGTGTTTACATTGAACTTTAATTCATTTCTATAATTATTTAACATTACACTGTTATTTTTAATGTAGCTAAAAATTCTAATTCTAATTTATTTACTTCGAGTTGAGCATATTTTTACGTTGTATTTTACTTTTTTTTTTAAATTTGATGTGTTGCAGTAGGTGAAAATAGATGCTGAGAATACAATGAGGAGACATTACTATAAGCTAAATATATAATATAGTGTTTTCTCTGGGACCTATACCTGCAATTACAAAAACATGCAGAAATGTACTAAATTTCCATGAAAGTCACTTGAATTTTTTTTATTACTGAAAGGACAACAAGCATATTATGTTTGGAAGTGCATGGAGTGTTTTTTCACATCACAAAACTGGTGCTGCACCTTTACCTCATGTAATTAGTAAGCCTGCATGGGTGCAGAGTATTGAGGGAAGTCTTTATTCTACTTTTATTTAAGGATAGTTGGTTTGGAACAGGACTAAATGTGGCAGATCCTTCGCATGAACTTGCAAACAGCATAAGGGCTGGACTGGAATGACTTTCCCGAGTTTTAATTCCTGATTAAATGGAGGTTTAAAAGAAACACAAAGCTACAGGCAGCAGGTAGTTAACTAAAAACAACTAGTCTAAAAATGAAAATTCCAACTATCAGCACCATATGTTGTTTGTTTAATCTGCATAAATGTGCAAAAAAAAAAAAGGGCCACAGCTGTTTTTCTAATTACAGGCTATTTCTTCTCAGGTGACACTCTGTTGAGTCTGCAGATTGACCAGAAAAAATAAGCTAATGACACAAATCTAGGAAAAGAGGGATTTGAAGACTAATTAAGCATTTAAATGTTAATTAGTGAGTTTAAGAGGTGCTTTTAGGGAGACTTTGTGCCAGGCTACATGTTCCCAGGTTTATGCAAACTAGCTGATGTATGTAAAAGCATCACTGACGTGATGTTAGTGATGCCTTTACTGAAGTGAAGGATCTTCAGACTTGTGCCACCAGTGCAGCTTGCATTGCATTTATCCAGAAGAAAGTAGACCTGGAGCTTTCTGACAGTCTTGACTGTCTGTCTGCCGCTTGTGTACATCAACAGTAAAGGGGACAAAATATCAGCTCAGCCAGTAGCACACCAGTGTTCCCAGTGCGGTTAGTATCAGTCCAGCTGATAGAGAGAGTGTTTATCTGCTTTGTTCTCAGCGTCTGCCTTCACCACACGCACACATAAACACATAATGTCCCCTTCCTCCTGAAAGCCTCAGTCCCCTGTCTGTGTGCAGGATCAGATACAGTTCAACACACTATTGATATCTCGCTCTCGCAAACACACACAGTTTTCTGCTGGCTTTCAATGTTTCTGGCAGCACATGTAACCGAAGAGGAAATTCATTCATCCGTAGCGTATTCAGTTTGCTTTACACAACTAAGCAAATATAAACTGATCCCTGTTTAATCCCCTCCCTTCTCCCTGTCATTCTGGCTCTTCACTTTCCTTGTTCCTGGAAAATCCTGTGTGTCTGCCTCTCCCTTCTCCTAATTTCTTCCTCCGCATGCTTGATGTGCAATCAACCCCTCCGTCCTCCCCCCACTCCCCCACTCCCCCAACCCCGATGCATGTCAATGTCCTCTCTGTCCTGTCACTCTTACTCTTTCCTGCTCCTCCTTTCCCCATCCCTCTCTCCTCCTATTTCTCTTCCTCAGCATGGACGTTCAGAATTTTCATGGGAAGGAATCAATGTAAGTGTTGTGGCATCATTCCTTCATCTACTACTTTTCTCTCCCTATCTATTTGTTGCTTTTGCGCGTTTTGATTTATGACACCCCCACCTCCTGAGCCGTATAGTCCGTCTTGCGGTTTATTATACTGGTGTGAGCACAATCAGAAACCCTAGATTTATATGATATTTATTTTGTAGAATATCTCTTGAATCAAGATTTGGGAAATGCAAATTCTGTCTCTTGTATTAACCCAACACCTCTATCACTTGTCCTCTCCACTCACCCCTCTGACACACACACTGTCATGTCACACTGTCTCTGTGTGGCCTCTCACACCATCCATGCTGTCCTTTTCTCCACACTTTCCTCCTCCATTCCTCTCTCTTCTCTCCTTCTAGCTGTCTATGGAAGACACCACATCAATCCTGCCCCGGCTCAAGAGGAACTCAAACGCCTATGGCATCGGGGCTCTGGCTAAGTCTTCTCTGTCAGGTGTGTCAGGTGTGTGTCTGTGCTGTAACTGGTAAACGACCCCATGCTGGCTCTGTCCTCAGACGGGCCCTGGAGTCAGCATGGTACCCTAAATGGGTTCCCCTGTATCACTTCCTCTCCACGCTGTGATATCAGTCGTCAATGACTCACGAGGAGTCATTGACGGAACAAATTCAGCTTCAAAAACAACACACACATACACACACATACACACACATACACACACAAACACAGCTTGTTGCTCTAAGAAAAGGTGAGTGGGAAGTGTAGTTTTTTATGTTAAGTGGTTGTGAAATTGTGCTGTTCTGAGCAAGTATTAGTATGGATGTTTTGACTGTGCAAAGTGCCGTGTCGAACAGATTTAGTGTAGTGAAGTGCTTTCTTTTAGTGCAGCGTTTTTTGGTTTCATCCAGCTGTTTTGTGTAGTGCAGTTTATTTGAGTGCAGTGAATTGTACTGCAGTACAGTGTAATGAAGTCCAGCTGCTATACCGTGTGCTGTGGTACGGATTTGTCCTATAATTTATTCATGAATCCCATCATCATGTGCTACCATCAGAGAGAATCAGGCAGCCAGGGATTTACAGTACATGTTAGTCGCGTGGAAATATGGAGCAGAGCTGTTAAACAGATATGAGTTTGTAGTGGCATGGCACCAGGAAATTAAATGTATGTTCAGCAGCTTTGAGTTTTCCAAAGCGCAATAAAGAGAAAGAGAGGAGTTTTTTGTTTACCCGGCGCAGCTTAGCAGAGGTGTGAAGAAGCTATCATGTCAACAAGCCAACCTCTCATTATTCATGCCACACAGCCGCCTCACCCCAATTAACCTGCTCCATCCCATGATGCACCTTTGTCAGACAAGACACGTCTCCTGCCGTCTCCCCTCCATGTGATGTTAACAGTCTCATTAAACACGCGAATGTCACCTCCACAACCCTTTTTCATTTCTCTGAGCTTATAATGGGTGCTCATGAAAACCCTCTTTTAACTACAGACTTTTGAATAGTTGGATTTGGCTGATAATGTTTTCATTACGAGCAGTTATTAATTTAAGATATTCAATATTTTAATAAAATGAGCAGTCTCAAACATCCCAGAGGCGTTTGGGTATTTTGTTTACTTCTTAAAGGCGGGCCTATTGTGGTTATCCTTGTTTATTTCTCTAAAGATAAATGTATAGATTGATATTCACTAGCAAGGACTAAAGCCCCAGATGCGAATGAAAATGTTTGTTAATAACGAAGCAACGAACTATGCCACAGGCTCGCTGAGGCGGTGGCTCCCCTGATACCTTTGAGAGAGGCTTACAAGCAGAGAAAAAGTGATGATGGGCCAAATAGGCACTTATAGAAATACGGCTGGAAAAGGAACTGTTGTGGGTGTGGTCCTGCTCCTGAACTTTAGATAAATAATCTTGAATAGGCTTATACACTGGTACAGTTCTGGATGCTAATATTAAATATGGTTAAAGTTTTAAATAATGAGGTCAGCGTGTGTGAAAGTAATCCCAGCAGGCCAAAAGCTCAGGCTTCACATTGCTCTAATCGCTCACTTTCAGACCACTTCAGACACGTCAGTGAATGCGGATATCCTTAATGTGGTTATCTCAGGCACACAGCTCTGGCTGTGAGCACATGAGCTCCACCACCTGCTGTTCAAACCTTTTGTTTGCAAAGGGCAGCCAATCAAAAGAAAGCTGGCTTACAGGTAAGGTGGATTTCAGGGAAGACAAAGTAAAACTGTATGTGATGAACAGAGAGGCTAAACCAAGGCACAGTGTAAGATGAGAGAGTTTTATTTTGATCCCGAGTCATTTAAAGCTACTCCAGTGAAGTCCAAGAATTAAAATGTGAGTTAATAATGAGCCTAATAGGTCCTGTTTAACATCAAAACAAATATATATATAATACATCAGGCGCTTTTGTTGTAAATGATCCTTAAAAATGGGAACTGTATGCTATACTTAAACTCGTTCTGGTTAATCATGTGAGGTAAAGCCAATTTCAGACACAACAACTCCAACACTGAAAGGTTTATTATTTATATGACAGTTGCTTTAATCAATTTATCAGTCGAACCGTGCCGGATATCCATATTTCCATGAGCCATCACATCATAGCGTCATACCCTCCTCCACCCAAAACCAGTGCACACTTGATAATAACGAATCTATCTTATGTCTCTTCCTTCCTCTTCTTTTGTTTTTTCCCCCATTTTGTTCCCCATCTGCCGGTTCATTCTCTACTCCTTCCCTCAACTCGGCTAATCACCTCTCTCTAAACCTCTGGTCTTTTAATTTCTCTTACTTCCACCCATTTTGTTTAAATTGGCCACCCTCCCTCCTCCTTCTGCTCCTTCCTTGTCTGGGTCTTTCTCCTAAAACAGGTGTCACACGCACAATGAAGGAAAGAGTGACCAAGCCCACAGCCATGGCCCAGGGTCGTGTCGCTCACATGATTGAATGGCAAAACTGGGGCATGACGACAGTGGGTTCGGGGAGCGTCCTCCAGTCCCGCATCACTACCCAGGAGCGAGAAAAGGAGCGGCGGCTGGAGAACGACGCCTACAGTGACCTCAGTGATGGGGAGAAAGAGGCTCGCTTTGCAGCAGGTCGGTTGAGGACAAGAGTTTCACACCCTATTAACTGTCATCAGCCACTTGAGTGGTACTGCAGGTCTTAGTAACAATTATCCTGACTTGCCCTCTGAATTCTCACCTCAGGCATCCTGCAGCAGTTTGCAATCTCAGAGGCAACGCTCCTGGCGTGGTCGTCAATGGATGGTGAGACTCCGCAGTCAGGATCAAACCAGGGAAGCGTGGCTCACCTCAGTGAGGTCAACCAGGAGAGCATCACCAGTCGAGGTAAAGGACTACAAATATGTCTGAGACTTAAAGTCCAGGAAACAGCTGTTGGTGAAACACAGCCACATCATTTATGAGTAAGAAAATGGAAGAGGTTGGAAAGTGGCAAATCAATTTTAAACAGAGTAGTTAGAGTATTGTGTTACAGCGTCTCGTCTCTCTAGACCAGAGATGTCAAACTCACTTTAGATTGTGGCCAACAGACAGCCCGCTCTGATCGTAAGTTGCCTGGACAAGTGAAACTCCTCTTTCTGTAAGCGTAAGCAAGTTTAATAAAACAAACAATGCACTGCTTTCTTTACATGACAAGAAAGTGCTGCTTTGGCCATAAACTGCAAGAAACAATTTGGTAAATTTAGAGAAAATGTTCTGTTAGCTCGTTGCGCAGACTGTCCTATAATTATAAAACAGAAAAGTTTTGTTAATTGACTGAATGTCCTCTTTTTGTTTTCTTGGGCTTTTTTTAAATTTTAATTTTTTATAATGAACCCACTGTAAAAGTCATACATTTCTATAGTAGATGGCGTAAAAACAGGAACTTTCCTCTTTACTTATTATTACTTATTTACTTGTATATTTCAAACCAGTAGGAAAAGCTGTAAAACTTATGAAAACACAGAAGTCTGGAATTTATGCCAATCTTCCATTTTCCAGAACTGTCCAGTGGGCCAGATTGGAGACTTAAGCAGGCCACATCTGGCCCCCAGACCTTATTCTAAAGAGCTTGGAAAGAAAAGTGTCTGAACTTTAGATGGGGATGGACCATTAGCAGTCTATCTGCATCTTAAGGACAAAGGTCACTCCTTTGAGGATGCCAGTGTTCACATTTTGGACTGAGAAGACAATTTGGTTTGAAAGAGGAGTGAAAGAAGCCATCTATGTCCACTGTGAACAGCCATCTTTGAACAGAGGCGGTCGTTTACTACACCAACTGTTTGCCATCTATAATCCAGTTTTGAGATCCCTTCCCAGATGCCTTAACGCCCACTCACATCCTGGGCCTTCTGACCTCAGGAAATTGCATGATAGGGTGGGGCTAAGTTTCGCAATGAGTTCACCCGATTGTGACCTACACCCGTTTTCACACCTTGGCTCGTGTGATTAGGTAGAGGATCATTAGGGGGTCAATTGTCCCTCTTAGGGGTCAGGCATGATTTCATGTGTCTTTGCGATGCACTCGCACAGCCCTCCTCACCGCTGTCTACTGTCTCACTCACTTACTGAGAGGACAGGCACACGCTCCACTTGACTGTCGCGTCTCTCACCCTCTCTGTTTTTCACATAATGATATTATCCTATATCCTCGCATGTGATTGGCCACAATATGGAGGGATTGGAGCATAGCTGAGCCACTGTGTGAGAGCTGAGCAGCGAAAGGAAATTAAGTGAGGAGCCGGCTCTCGCTCAATGGGAGTCGACTCTTCTGATTCACTACAAAGCACTCTCTAAGCACGGCTCTTAGAGCTGATGCTTTTGCGCATGACACATTATCGAACGTTACGTTGTGTGTCATGGATACTGTTGACTCCAAATCTCCTGACCTCTATGCCAATCTGAGACAGCAAGACCGAGACAGCGAGACCAAGACAAGACCGAGGGATCAGGACCAAGACAAGACCAAGACCAAGACCAAAGTCTGTCGAGACCAAGACAAGACCCAGACCACGTAAAAGTAGTCTCGAGACGGGTCTCGAGACATCCAACTCTACCTCAGACCTTATGTTTGACACCTCTGCTCTAGACTTTAGGCCATTTCAGTTTCCAGCATGAACTTTTGGAAGGTAAACCCAGACACTGTATCGATATAAACAGTGATTTTGGATATTTGCAATTTACTGCAATGTTGCCTTAGCACAGACTTCTGAATGCAGAAAATTAGAGTAAGTGCTTTGCTGATTTAAAATAGACTTTCTTAACTGCACCCTGAATGCATTAGTCTTAACTGATCGCATCGTTTTTAAGTCAGACACTTAGCAAAATATGTGGCTGTGAGCCCACTTTATAGCCCTCCAACTTTGAGTAAGAAACACTGGAGGCAATCAAAGCTCTGTCTGCACTATACAGTTTGACAAAATGATGACTCAACAGTGCGAGGTGTGCCAGTGTTCAACTCTGTTCGGTTCATACTGGAGAGTTTCTGTCATAACATTTTCACCCAGTGTGGAAAGATTTCAGCTGAGTTTTTTTCAGAGTAGTTAACAGCCAGATCTACATTTATCTCAACAGCTATTAGCTTTAACTGTTGGTCATTAAAAGTTGTAATTTCAAGATTTTAAGAAATTGCTCATTTTTTTCCCAATTCCAGCAAATTTGAAAAGTGGGATTTTTGTAAAAATCATAAAACACAGTGTTCCTGCGTCCATCTGCTGCCCCCATTTTGAAGAGTGCTAACAGCTGCCACATTTTTTTATTTCCTGCAGATCAGATATTGCACCACTCCTCAGCGGAGGTGTGGCCTCACACATACGTCTCCCAGGGCCACTACTGCCTCTCCTCTTCTGACGCTTGGGAGCCCATCAACAACGATCCCTCCGTTGTGGCGTCTCCCCCTGCTGGCTCCTACGTTATGGGTACGGAGGGCTACGATGGGCAGGCCGCTGCTCACTTCCTGTCTCAGCAACAGCAGCAGCAGTTCACTCTCCAGCAGAGTCAACTACAACAGCTGCAGCAGATCCAACAGTTTCAGCACTACCACCAACAGCAGCTTCTGCAGTATCAGCAACAGCAGGTGATTGATTGAGAGTGCCGCCGTCTGGGTTTTAATCCAAATGAGACACTACATGTTGCTGCTAATGCGTAAGGCTTGAGTATCAGAGATGGTTGTTATAAAATACTGTCTGGTAAAATAAATTTATCAACACATTATTTTATTTATTTGTTCACTTTTGTATAGGCACAAGTACAGCACATGAACAAACCCACACATCACAGCATTTATAGACTAAAAAAGCTGGGCTTTTATTCAGAACATGTTCTCAGAAACTCTTACCTCCTGGGTTTCATGCTCAGTCTGAAATTCGCTCTTGACTGTGGAAATAGAAATTCAACAAAATAATCTTAACTCGACATTTTTCTATCTAATCATCTCCTTTTATTCGTTTTTGTTTTTGCATTACTTCATAGAAAAGATTTTAGCCTAAGCAATGACTCAGCCGCATCTGATGTGAATGCTGACACACCTCACACTGTTGAGTCATCACTCTTGTCAAGAATCCTTCATTAAATGCTCAGCTGAACCTGCAAAAATATGACATTCTTCCAAAGGGACGCATCCAAATCATTTTTTAAACAAAAATAAAAAGAATTCCATGCATGAGGATGGAATTTCTTATACTGTACAAAAAGATCTGCATATCACCTCTGTTGCCTAAGGAAAACAAAGTCAGCTTACTGCATACTGACATGGGGAGCATGTCATGAAACATTCAAGCTGGCAAACAGGTCGCACTGCTCATTCCTCACATTTTACTGATTACTCTTTTCTGTGTGTTTCAAGTCTCTGGAGCACAGGCTACACAGTGCCAACCACTCTTTGCAAGCAACACCCAACAGCACCATCCACAGTCTGGTTCATCAAATTCACCCTCCGCTGGTTGATCTGTGGAACACGGGGCAGATGGAAACCTATCAGGCAGAAGCCGGCGGGTACATGGGTGTGGCGGCGACAGTGGAGCCAAGCCTGTGCGTTCCCACTGGTGAAGAGATAGTAGGAACGGAACACTCCCCGCTACTGGAACAGCAGGAGGAGGAGGAGGTCAAGGTGAGTTGAACATGGGGTTGCATTACATAAAATTATCTCTTCAGTGATTAATATTTGATTTTGTAGCTTTCTAAGCGAGTTCTCAGAGGCACCAGACTGGAGGTTTAGTTCTGCTTACAGCAACCTGTGTGTCATTTCTGTTTTAAATCTGCAGACTGTACTTAAAGTTTTATCTCGAATCATTTAATCATAAGATTGGTTTGATTTTATGCACGTGTAGCAATCTAAGATCAATTTGTCAATAGAGGGGATACTGATTGACATTTTTGAAAAGAATTGTCTGCCAGTACTTTAATTCAGTTCAGTTTTCTTTGTACGCATAGCACCAAATCACAACAACATTTACCTGAAGTTACTTTATATTATAAGCTAAAAAACCTACAATAACAGAAGAAACCCCAACCATTAGACGACCCCCTTTGAGCAATCACTTGGCAACATTGGAAAGGAAAAACTCCCTTTTGACAGGAAGAAACCTCTGAGTGAACCATGGTCAGGAACGGGCAGTCATCTGCTGTGGATGGTTGGGGGAAATGGCAAAAAGAGGAAAGTGAGGATTTCTAGCTTTTCCTTGGGTACATTTAAAAGTTTTATTACGCTAGCCGGGCAGCTGTGTTCTTGGCTAAGATACTGAACCCATTTTTCCCCCGAGACATCGATCAGGGTGCGAGTATGTGCATGATTGTTAGAAGGGTTAACACCATCACATCCAGAAGGTCCTGGATTAGGATTTGCTGGTCAGATGGGGCTTTCCCATGTGGAATTTGCATGTTCTCCCTGCACCTGTGTGGGCTCTATATGGGCACTCTGGCCACAGTGCACAGACGTCCATATTAAGTTAATTGGTGAAATAGGTGTGAATGCTTATCTGTCTCTCTGTGTTAGCCGTGCGACAAAATTGGCAACCTGAGCAGTTGTACCCTACCTTGGTATCGGCTCCAGCCTCCTGACCCTTGAATTAGATAAGCGGAATAAACTGAATGGATGGATTTTTTAACTTTTGACCTGCCGAAGACATATACTTTTACATTTCCATTATTTTGACTGAATTGATGACAACATTAACTGATGATAAAAATATTAGATTTGTGGCCTCAATAAGATAAAGTTGGGGATGGAAAAATTTGAATAGATTAGATAGCAGAAATGTCAGGAAACAAGAGGGAGAGTTGAAAACCACAGTTGCGACAGGCCTCCAAACTTCAGTTATTTTGGGGATAAATTATGTAAAAGGTGTGAAGCAAAAGGGACTGCTATGAAAGTTTTCATGAAAATTGCAGGGAGCAACCTTATTAATGCACAAAACAATCAGTCACCTATATATCTAATTCATGAAGTCCTCATCTTCAGGTTGATTTTACTGTGCAGCTCAAGAAGGCAACACTTTTTAGGAGCTGAGCTCTTGTTGGCAATCCATCATTGAATAAGCAGTGGTATAGGATTGGCTGCTCTTCCTTATGACAAAAACCGTAATCACAATTATTTTGGTCCATATAAATGGACTGAATGCTGAATGGTACTTATGTAGCACTTATCTGTTCTAACTGAGCACTCAAAACATTTTATACTACGAATCTCATTCACCCAATCACATACACATTCATACAAATCAACACCTAAGCGGTTTTATCTAACATTCACACAGACACGCCAAACTCTGATGGATGCGTCGTGACTGATCTTCTGATTGGTCAACATCTTGCTCTACATCCTCAGCTACAGCTGCCCCTATAAAACACAATCATATAACACAATAATTGTTTTATCCCAATTGGATATATTGAATATAATTTTTGACTTTGACAACCTACAGTGGTATCATGGTAGCACAAAAAGCTTTAGGAAAAGATTCATTGGCTTTTCCACCCATGTCAACAAACATGCTAACATTTCTACCTGTTAGAGAGTAGTAACAGGTAAAAAAAAAAGAAAAAAAAAGAGCCTAGTAAGCTTGTTCCTACTTGTTTATGTCACAATTTAACTGCAATTTTACTGAGAGAAATGGGGGGAAAGGGGGAAAAATGGTAACAGCCACTAAAAACTGACTATTATGTATCCCAATAGTGTTTTATTATAGTGCAGAGAGGCTGATAGGTTGGTCATTCGATTTCTGACTACATTTAAGAGTCTTTGAGCAAAACACTGAACCCCAAGTCACTTCAGAATGTCTGTGTGAATGACTGCAAAGAGCTCTGCAGACACAGCTAAAGTTAAAAGGCATGCTAAGTGCAGACCATTTACCATTAAAAATTAATTATTTGGACTTTGGAAACCTTGACTTTAAACCAGCATTGACTTGAGGTCTGCAGAGAAAGATTATGTATTGCAAGCTTCAAAACAGTTTGACAGTTGGCCTTGAGTTGAGACTGCCTTGACAAAGTGTACTTTGATGCGTCATGGTGATCATATTTGCCAATCAGTCTGTTAGTTGATACAGTAGGAGAAATCTGAGGATGGATTTTGGTCCACTCCTCTTTACAGAAACTTTAATTCCTTCAGATTTCTTGACTGCCCATTGGCAACTTGAAGCTTCAGCTCCTTCCACAGATTTTCTACAGGACTGAGGTCTGGAAACTGGCTTTGGCTCAGCGTTTCTCTTCTCCAAAAACAGCGGGTTGAGTTGATACCAAAGGTTTTGGTTTCATCTGACCACACTGTTCACTTTTCATAGTGGTGGAGAGGCTGGAAAGAAAGAAACTGACTCTGTGGACAAGTGTGCTTTATACACATAATTGAGATCAAGTGCCTCTGTTATTGGTTGCTTGGTTGACTGGTTGATTGGTTGAATGATTATACATATCATACTTACTTCACTCAATGATATGCAAATCAATTTATAACTTTTATACAGGGAGTGCAGAATTATTAGGGAAGTTGTATTTTTGAGGAATAATTTTATTGAACAACAACCATGTTCTCAATGAACCCAAAAAACTCATTAATATCAAAGCTGAATGTTTTTGGAAGTAGTTTTTAGTTTGTTTTTAGTTTTAGCTATTTTAGGGGGATATCTGTGTGTGCAGGTGACTATTACTGTGCATAATTATTAGGCAACTTAACAAAAAACAAATATATACCCATTTCAATTATTTATTTTTACCAGTGAAACCAATATAACATCTCCACATTCACAAATATACATTTCTGACATTCAAAAACAAAACAAAACAAATCAGCGACCAATATAGCCACCTTTCTTTGCAAGGACACTCAAAAGCCTGCCATCCATGGATTCTGTCAGTGTTTTGATCTGTTCACCATCAACATTGCGTGCAGCAGCAACCACAGCCTCCCAGACACTGTTCAGAGAGGTGTACTGTTTTCCCTCCTTGTAAATCTCACATTTGATGATGGACCACAGGTTCTCAATGGGGTTCAGATCAGGTGAACAAGGAGGCCATGTCATTAGTTTTTCTTCTTTTATACCCTTTCTTGCCAGCCACGCTGTGGAGTACTTGGACGCGTGTGATGGAGCATTGTCCTGCATGAAAATCATGTTTTTCTTGAAGGATGCAGACTTCTTCCTGTACCACTGCTTGAAGAAGGTGTCTTCCAGAAACTGGCAGTAGGACTGGGAGTTGAGCTTGACTCCATCCTCAACCCGAAAAGGCCCCACAAGCTCATCTTTGATGATACCAGCCCAAACCAGTACTCCACCTCCACCTTGCTGGCGTCTGAGTCGGACTGGAGCTCTCTGCCCTTTACCAATCCAGCCACGGGCCCATCCATCTGGCCCATCAAGACTCACTCTCATTTCATCAGTCCATAAAACCTTAGAAAAATCAGTCTTGAGATATTTCTTGGCCCAGTCTTGACGTTTCAGCTTGTGTGTCTTGTTCAGTGGTGGTCGTCTTTCAGCCTTTCTTACCTTGGCCATGTCTCTGAGTATTGCACACCTTGTGCTTTTGGGCACTCCAGTGATGTTGCAGCTCTGAAATATGGCCAAACTGGTGGCAAGTGGCATCTTGGCAGCTGCACGCTTGACTTTTCTCAGTTCATGGGCAGTTATTTGGCGCCTTGGTTTTTCCACACGCTTCTTGCGACCCTGTTGACTATTTTGAATGAAACGCTTGATTGTTCGATGATCACGCTTCAGAAGCTTTGCAATTTTGAGACTGCTGCATCCCTCTGCAAGATATCTCACTATTTTTGACTTTTCTGAGCCTGTCAAGTCCTTCTTTTGACCCATTTTGCCAAAGGAAAGGACGTTGCCTAATAATTATGCACACCTGATATAGGGTGTTGATGTCATTAGACCACACCCCTTCTCATTACAGAGATGCACATCACCTAATATGCTTAATTGGTAGTAGGCTTTCGAGCCTATACAGCTTGGAGTAAGACAACATGCATGAAGAGGAAGATGTGGACAAAATACTCATTTGCCTAATAATTCTGCACTCCCTGTATAATGTGTTTCCTGGATTTTGGGGTGATATTCCATTAAAATTAAAATATCATAAAAACCTGAGACTGTTCATTTCTTTGTAAGTAACCAAACTTACAAATTCAGCAGGGGATCAAATATTTGTTTTCACTACTCAAGAGGACAATAGGTAAAAATCTATCCACATACATAAGTTAGTCATCTAGTTGACCTTGTGTGTTTCACTCTTTCTGCCCTGATCAGGAAGAAGATGTGGCACTGTGCATGGAGCAAGAGTCGGCCACATTGACTCCACCCACACAACAAGGGGATGCTTCTGGTGGCAGTAGTCCGGGGCAGCTGCCAGCAGAGCCAATCACAGAGCGGAAGTTGTCTGATGTCACTTCTGGTCTCATTCAGACACTAGAGGAGAAGGAAGAGCCAGAAGAGGGGCCTCCTGCTTCTGTGGCAGCCAACTGAGTTTGTGGCAGACAAGAGACAAATGAAGAACTGACTGGGGAGTCAGCAAGAAATGAGCATAATAACACAATATATCTCTATTACTCTGTTCCTTTTCAGGTATCAAAACCACAACTTTTTTGGTTGCAAGGTCATTTCTTCATAATGGTGAGAAATAGATTTGGTGGACTCCCAATAACAGTAGAGCTGATGCAACAATGGACACCTGTTTCTTTGCAAGCCTTACATCCCAAAGGTAACTGAAGAAAAGACAGATGAAGGCGGAAGAGAAGCACCAACCGAGTGAATTATATCCACCGGGAAACTGCACTGAGACAAAAAAGAGGGGAATGGAAACATGCATGCTTTTTATGAGACAAGCAACTCAACCCTGTCATCATCTAATAATGATAATAGAAATCTAAAGTAATAAAAAAATAACAATAATTTTGTAATAAAAGAAACAAAAAAAAGAACAACAATCTATGTATAAGTGTATGATAAGATATGAGATTTCCAGTGGGAGAACTACTCTGTTTACAGCTGTTATTCAACACATAAGATAGAGTTTAGTCAAATTTATTTCCCCATTGCATCAAACACATGCACTATACTTTACATCTGGCAACCCAAGCACTTTCACAGATGATTGAAGTAGGCCCAGAAAATCTCAGCATTTCAGTGAAATGCAGTTTTCCCCGAGGCACAATCCAGGGACAGGCTCGCCCTGCTGACTGGACACCCAAAAACCCTGCACAGATAAGGATTGTACTGTATACCGTGCTTCCTACTCTGTCTCTCTGTATGCATGTTTCTTCAGAGTACTATGGAGTACCTGTACTATACAGCACTGTATAGACTTTGCACTGAACCATAGTATCCCAGGTGTGGCCACAGTGGCCCTGCAGTGGGCCTGCGGTGGGTTTGAGTGGTGGCTTTCATGACTGAGAAATAAACACAGAGCTGCATATGTGAATCTCTTTTGCACTGATGCAATCCCAACAGATAAGAGGTTCCCTTTGGACTGTTGAGGTTACCCAGTTTCCGCTCTGAAAGCTTTCACCGACAACCAAAACCGAGCCACTTGACAACGCGAACCCTCAGCTGCTTTTTTTTTTTTCCATAGACGTAATCGCGATGAATAAAGGATGATAACCACTATTTTGAATGTACTGGAAGACAGGCGGCAGTACACGAGTGCTGCTTTGATGCCTCCTCCGTGGTCCACAAGAGAGAGAAGGGAGCGCTGTTCTGCTTTGTGAAACAAAAACAAGTGGGGGAGTCTTTCAACCATGTTGGAAAGTGGATTCACTGCTGGCTCACCAAGACCACAACAACACACACACACACACACGCACACACAGATATGAATATCTAAATTGTAACCAGCAATAGGCAGGCGAGACACTGGCTTCCCAGATCAGTGTCAGCTCTGTCACAAATATGTAAATATTCTGAGTAAATAAAGAAATTGCCTCTCGCTCACAATCACAACTGTTCTATTACAGTATGATTTCTTTATTTTTGTACACCTCTTGGGTCCCACCTTATTTTGGGGATTGCTCTCAAACTCACAGCTTAGCCTAGCAAAGTTTAGTTTTTTCTTCTTCTGTGTGCAACAACACAAAGACAAAATCGGAGGAAATGGGAGGGATGTTGTGTTTTAAGTTGGGTGATCGAATCAAACTGAGGGGCATTCAACTCGCTGAGACCATCGGCGGTGGAAAAAGTTTGGCGACGGCGACAGGAGGTTGCCATTCAGTCAGCCAATCAGGGAATAGAGCGGACGATAAGGACTGAACACTGGAGCTGAAAAGATCGGTGTCTTCCTGCTCATCGTTCTTACTGTGAAGCAGCTGCCTGGATGTTTGACAAGCATGGTTTATTTTTTGTGGGTTTTTGTTTTTCTTTCACTGGAGGAAGGACGGTGTTTGCTAGCGAGACGTGGAGTTAAACAGCGGCGGTGAACAAAGTGGACTTTCCGTGCATGGCTCACTGACAAAACTTTACGACACTACAAAACCACTGTTTTCTCTGTTGGAGGAGCACCTTCTCTCACTTTGATGATTGTGTGAGAAACTTTTAAGATGATAAGATATATGGTTTATTGACTTGAATGAATTTATTTATTGATTGCTTCTTTATGCAATGTTGGGGACAATGTTTATTTTTCTACTGACCTACTGAATTCTGAGTTAGAGTAGGTGTCACGGCTGTAAAGCACTCTCGTTTTGTCTGGTTTTGAGCACTTTAAACCAAGAAGAGATGGAGCAGTTTGGCAGCTCACTGTTTTTAAAAACTTCAAGAATTTCAGTAGTGCCAGGTGACAAAAACAATTTGAAGACTGCTCAAAACTGCAAACAGAATGTCTTTACACAATGGCAAATATTAATTTATTTATTGAAAAATTACTTGGTGGGGAGGAAAAATAAGACATCTTGTACAGAGTATAATTTCACGTGGGTACCAACCCTTCTGGGAGCAGTATCTTTTTTTTTAATGAGTCAGATGACGTAATGTGGTGGAAAGACCAATGCTTTATATATATTTCTTTGACCATCGCAGCTTATTTGGGCTTGACTGTTTGCTAATAAGCTACATCACAAGGAAACATGCATGAACTCCATTATAGACACTGCTTCGCTTTGGGTTATTTTTATTTATTTATTTATTAATCTTTTTATTTATTTTGTGTTGTTGCTTTCTTTCTTTTTTTTCTTTTTTAATTAAATCTCAATGAATGAATAAACAAATAATAAGAAGCCAAAAATATTTCTGTGGATGTTAAGGTTTACTGATCACATCTTTGTTAACCTACTGGTTTGCAGTTGAGTCACTCTTTTTGTATTTCTACTGCCATCTTCCAGTTACAGTTACAACTTGTCTGCAGGCATGATGCTCAAAACCTGCTTCTGGTCCTCTGCCTTGCTCCTTCTCTTCCTTTCCGTCTATCTCTTTGTATCTGCTCTGTATATTTGTGTCTGTCTGTATGTCTGTCTGTGTACAGTAAGATGTCCACTGTCTTGTTGGAAAAATCACTGCCAAAAAGAGAGAAAAAAAACAGAAAAATAACTTGACGTTTTCACATCAGTCATAGGGAATCTGATAATTATAATCTGGAAGTGTCTGGCAAAAAAAGTAACTGCTGTATAAAACGCTGTATAAAATTGGATGGCTTCTGTAAAAGTCTGCATAAAATTGGATTTGTTTGAAATGAGGCAGTGTGACTGGTGATACCAGTGAACACTTATAACACTCCCACCTATGCATGCTTGTTGGATGGCTGTCACAGGATGGTTCTTCCGTGCTCCCCCCCCCCCCCTCTCTCTCTTCTGTCAACTCTCTGTTTCTTCCCGTTTCTCTTCCTTTCCCCTCTTTTTCCTGCACGACCTCCTATTCACCTTCCGGCTCCTTTTACCTGCCTCCTCTCCTTTTCCTCTGGTGGAGAAAGAGCAAATAAACAAAACCAACAAATGGCATTTCTTGTGCACACGTGTGGTTATGTTTTCATGTTTTCACAGGCTGGCAATAATTAGATTCTCACATGTTCACCTCCTTTCTCTCAAGAGCTTAGTGATATGCTTTTGGGGGGGGGGTCTTTTTCTTTTTTGGACTGACAGTGGGTGTCTGCGACCATGTGCTTGACAGGCAAAAACAGCAGTCACAAGGACCTGGCAGCAGAGTAATCCAGCCTGTCATGCTTTTCCAAAAACATCCCTCTCCAGTCCTTATCAGGGACTTTTATGCCAGGAGAATATTAACACAGCCAGGCCTCCTCCATAGGGACTAACTGCTGATTTGTTCAAGCTCACATAGGAATCAGAGGCTGGAACACACTGCTGACCTTCACAGCACAGAAATCTTTATATGCATGCAGATGTTCTCTTTTTAGACTTTTTTTTTATTACCCTCCTTTTCTTGACGTAGTATATCCCAACAATTACAAAACTAATTTGTACAAACATTAATGCTCCTCAGTGGATAAATAACTGTGTTCCACTTAAGCTTTACTTTTACTGAATGTGGAGTATTTAAAAAAATATGAAGTATGCTTCTATCATGTATAGATGTAATATATACTCTATAGATACATGTTGTAATTTTCAACAACTTATTATACTTTGGGTTGTTTAATCTGTGATCTATACACCTTGCAGTAATTATTAAGTTGATAACTACATTATGGAACCCAGAAACTCCAAACCAAAGCTCAACACTAAAAATTGTGAGCGCCTTAAGAAGTTGCTTTGCAGATGCTAATGTTACCGATGCTAAACATGAAGTCATGGGAGTGACATACAACAAGACAGTTTTTAATTTAAATTTAACCTTTATTTAACCAGGAAAATCCCACTGAGATTAAAAACCTCTTTTTCAAGGGAGACCTGGCCAAGATAGGCAGCAGCAAGTTACAGATTTTTTCCAAAAATTGCCAAAATGTCAATAAGATGGCCAACCTTTTCTCAGATCCTGCAGATTAAAAAGTCTGTCAAATTTTAGAAAAATGTCAGTGGTGATAAAATTGTGCGTTTAAAAAAAAAATTGTGGGTTCAGCAGCAGGTTAGAGAGAAACGCTCCCCCACGCACACTAAATTTGTCCACTCCAGCTTTGAAGTTTCTGTCTATTTACCTTATAATTATGATAATTATTAATACTATCCCTCTTTGGCTTTTTTGTGACAAAAAAATTGCATTGCTTTACAATAACTGTGTCAAACAACAGATCAGTGCTATGACATAATATAGAAATAGAGTACTAAAGGTGAGTACAACCGTGCTAAAGAACACTACTTCAGTAACAGCACACTGTTGCTCTCTGCTGCTGACATTTTCCTAATGTTCGCATGCTAACAGACTAAACTAAAGCCAGCTCAGGCTAAACTTGAAGGTGATAATGTTACTAAAACCATCTGAGTACAGTGTCTTCAAATAAACCTGATAAATATAGAAGATTTCTCTTTATAATTAAAAATGGATTTGCAGTTAGCTGGATAAAGTTTTATTTGTTTTATTAGTTGTTTTATCTTCTCCTGGGTACGCTGATACAGGATTAAGTAAACTGGGGGTGCTGCAAAATTGCTGTTTCAGACCATAAAGTCAAATCAATCATTCTCCAAACTTTTGTTTTCCATCTGCTAATCTCAACCTTCTATAAAAACATTTCCTTTTTAATGTGTTAAATATTTCTTCAGTGACAAAACCCACATTTTCAGCATTGCGTCTCAATCCAGAAACAAATGAAAATATATTTATTTTAGCATTTAGCTGGAAGCACTGCTGCATCCAGCCTCACTGAGAAAGATATTTAACAGCAGTAAAGAACTCAAATAAGTTAGTGGACAAATATAGTATTTATTATTTTTTAAAAATTACAAACCAGTAATAATGATTTAGATTCACAATACAGAAAATACATAATAAACATGTTATAACAAGTTATAATTTTAAATTAACCTCAATCAGTAAACTTTAAATGTGTGATCTCTTTGACCCATCAGTCAAATTAATTAAGTCTTAATCACTATATTATTTCATTATAATACAATTCTTTACTGTCAGCTACCCTACAGGTACTTAAAGGTATAATATGCAGGATTTTCCTAAAACAGTAAAATCTCTCAGTTTTCCTTTACTGTTGTATTTATCTGCACAGACTGATTTAATATATTCTGTTTTTCCTGTTTTCTGTACATTCCTGGGTTGCAAGCATTGGGCAATGATTGTGTAGCCCCCAGCTAATAACAACAGGAGGGCGGGATTACATCACTGCCTCTATTTCTTTCCTCATAAATATTATAAAAGAGCTGTTGTGATGTTAGTTTTCATTGCATGTTTTCATTACACCAATATCCAAAATAAGAAAGAAATTTTAATAATTAGACTGGAATAACTACTACTGACTGGCACTCATGTTTTTATGGTTTCCAGTGTCACACACTGGGCAGTAGCTACTTAAAAACCACAGAAAGTATTAATGCAATGTTATCTGGTAATGTGTTATAGTCATTGTCAACACCAGTTTATAGCCTAGAGCCACACCTAATTCACACTAAATTAAGAAATGCAGCACCTTCCCTGCTGACTTGTGTGATTTCTGCTTCAGAACTCAATCATTGTAAAACAATTAGAAAATTATGATTCATTGCTTTTTTCTTGCTAAAGCTGTTCCCTCCATCCTCATTCTCAAGGCCAAGTTTACAATAACTGACCATTGCTGCATATTATACCTTTAATGACATTAACAGATCTTAATACATGTGAAAATCAGCTGTTTTCGGCATTTCAGAGATACGCTTGGAAGATTGAACTTCAGTGAAACGGTTGTCAGCAGTTCAGAAGACACGGGAAAGCACCTGAGATTTTAAAGAGTGGAAAAGTGAAACTATCATCAGAATAGAAAAAAATATCCTGTACTAAAAGTTTCTTGAGCTTTGTGTGCACCAGTTCCTCCTGCCCACCGAGAGCTGAATGTCTGTGACAGCCGCAGGTGGCTTTGACTCCTCCATCTAAACTGCAGCTTTGTCTTTTCGGAAAAGGAGTGACATTAAAAGAAGGTAAAAGTTTTTCTTCTTAAAAGCCACTTCTCCTAAATGGGCTCATCAGAGTCCTCGCTCTCCCTCTCCTCCTGCAGGGAGGACAGTGTGAGGACAGGGCTTGTGGCTGACATGGGAGAGGCAGGGGCTGACGGCGAGGTAGAGGAGGAGGTGGAGGGGGATGCTGCCTCCTGAGCAGGGCCTTCGGCCCCTCTTGTGGAGGTGGAGCTACTATTGCTCTCCATGGTGCTGGGGGAAGAGGAAGCAACGTCACACCCAGGAGTTCCTCTTGAAGGCTTCCCTCGGGAATCGTCTTTGGACTCCCTCCTCACCAGCTCCCCTTCCCTTCTGCTACCCTCCCCCCACAGGTCTCTGTCCTGTGTTGGCGAGGAAGTGGTGGATGAGGGAGGCTGGTGCTTCTTGGCTTTCCTACTGGTGTCTCTGAAACTGGCCAGAGGAGGACGAAGCCTCACCCCGCTCCGAGTTGAGCCCTCTATGGCTTTCTGCAACTGTTACAAGAGTGAACGAGGTTTAAACATCCACAGAAGCAAAAAAAAAAACCCCAAACATACCACGAAGCAGAGCAACAACATAAAATCATTAAAGTGAACATCCAGCGAGATGAGTTGTGAGGGCGGTTAGTGGAATAACTGCATGAATCAGAGCGTAAAGAATGATGCACGCGGTGACAGAACAGCTCACAGCTCATCATGCCACATTACCGGATCAAATCCAGAGAGGTGACAAAAAACAAGCCAATAAATTAAAACAAAATGAAAAGCAAAAAGTGACTTTACCTCTTTCAGTGCCACAACACCCACCAGCTTACCAATGCTGGTGACATAGGCGTGACTGAGACCCAGCAAGGAGAACAGAGTGTGGGTCTGAGTAATGAGAGAGGAGAGAGAGGACACGATCCAGTCAGTGTTAGATGTGCTGTACTGTGACAGTGTTCTGCTTGCATGACTGCACTGTTTCTCATAAGCAATTTTTCTGCAACAAAAGAGGAAATGCATGGCTTTGCTACATAGATGCATAATAAAAAAAATTCAAGTTTCAAAGTTTTATCATATGGACAAAGAACAAACAGGGCGTTCTGTTTGTTCAGACTCTTAGGCCAAGCTGAAATAAGTCTAATGTTTCATCACAGCTTTCAGAAAGCTCCTTTAGAGCTACAGTTGGCAGACAGGTGGACTTGGTATGCACTTAAAAAACTGAAAACTGAAGCTGGGACAGATGAATCAAAAACTCACAAAGTCACACACAACAAAGCTGGCTCAAAGGGAGCATAGCATTTATGGGAGAGAGGCTAAACAGTTTGTTTCAGACAGAAGATGAACTTGGATATAGTTTCAGTATAGTTTAGTTATGAAGAGTTTATTCCTCCCGTTTCCAGTCTGTGAGCAGAGATCATGACATGAAAATAAGTCATAGCTGTAAGTGTACAGAACCAGTATGTGTATATGAGTTTTGATGATCACCTTATGCAGAGACGTTCTTTCCACCAGCTGAAATGGAGAGGGGTCTATGCGTATCTGCTCCATATCAATTGGTTTGTTCAGCTCTGCCTCTTCCCAGGCTTTGATCTGCAGCCAATCACAAAGCAGAGAGATGAAGGCGCAAACTAGGTTGTAATTATCAATTAGAGTGGTTTGTTGGTCCATCGTTGAGTATGAGGCTTCGCAATCAATAGTGTAAAGTACCTCCTCTGGAGACATGGTGTCAGTCAGCTGAGGGGTTGTGGTCTCCTGAGAAAGGTGGAGGAAGAAAGAGATGATAGACCAAATGATGAAAAGAAAGATAGATGCCCCCTGCTGGTTTTAAAGTATTACCTACTGCAAAAGTTATCACTAGGTCAGCTTCAGGTTATGCCCCCACCCCCCTCATCACATTATTGAGGCTGGCTTAGACTGCCATGCTGGACTGATATCCCTGTCTTAGCTGTCACTGCCAACTCAGTAGCAGATCACTGATGCACTGCTTCTTTGAGTGTTTAGCCTCAAAGCAATGGATACATAAGGTTGATCCCAGTACCTGAGTATCTGTCTGGCCTGACAAAGACGTGGAGGAGAAGAGTCTTTGAAGGGTCCTCCTGACAGATGGCAGCTTGCGCTTGTCTGGGGATGCGGTATGGCAACGCATGTCAGAGTAGAGACAAGTGACATGGATGAGCGAACCTGTCCTTGTATGTAGTGGAAATAACGTGTTACCTGAGTCTGTGTGGTTGGCGGAGGGCTCCTGAGGTTTGGGGGCAGGAACGGGTCCATTACATTCTTCCTGCACAGGAGTGGTGGTCTGATGGACACAACGCTGTCAGTAAGGAGGTTGCAGACACAAACAAACAACACCTGATGGTCAGGAATAGGTCACATTTTTCCACCTTGTCGGGGCTTTCCTCTCCTCCCTCCTCATCTACAAAGGTGAATGACTCCCAGCTGATTTTGGAGGCTTGACCCGGTGAACTTTGACCTCTTTCAAAGACTCGTCTTTGAGGTGAAAGCCACCAGTCCAAGAGGGCTTGAAGCTCTGTCCTCTCAATTGAACCTAGCAGAATCATAGATTCTGCAAAAAAGGAAGTTTCACAGAGAAAAAGTTTGGCATTCAGGGGGAAACTGTTGATACTTACATGAGATCAGCTTAGCACCAAGTCAGAAAAAATAACTTTAAGGTAAAAAACTAATTTAATGGTCCTTATTTTCTGTCATAAATATATATATATATTGTTACAATGGATAATGTTGACAGTGGCCAAGGTTCCAAAAAAGAGGTGAGAGTAATCCCTGTTAAACAAAAGCTCAGGCTTCAGACAGTAAAAGCTGTTTTCTTAAAATTTTCTCTACTCTTGGCTCCATATGATATCATTAGGAGCTGATATCTCCCCAATATGATCATCTCATGGACACAGCTCTGCCTCTGCGCACAGAAGCTCCACCCACATGTGATTAAACCCTTCTGTTTACGAGGGCGGCCAATCAGAAGCTTGTTTCAGACGGATAGTCAACTGAAGATCTGCACCAAGGCTAAGAGGAATTATTTTGAACTGTTAATCATGGAAAGCTACTTATAGACCTGGTCTATCCCATTAATACTAAGCCTTTTAAAAGCAAAATAAAGTATTATTGTTATGGTCCTGGGTCGGTGACCCAGTGTTTTTGGTTTTTGTACTTTTACTTTTGATTTCATCATGGTTTGTGACTGTTTGTGTTTTGGGTTTCTATCCTAGTGTTTCTAGCTCCCTAGTTTTGTGGTTCTGATTTTTAGGTTTCGTTCTTTGACCTCCCAGTGTTAATTCCGTGCTCCCTCTGTTCTGTGTCATCCCTACCTGTGTATCCCCTCTAGTGTAGTCTCTGTGTAAAGCCCGCGTCTCTGAGTCCGTGCCTTCGCGCGTGTTTTGAGTTTCCTGTTTTATTGTGAAAGTCTGTGTCTTATGCCAGTGTGTTCAGATTGCGTTTCCCCTGTCTTGTCTTGTTGATCATAATCAGCTGTGCCTCCCTCCTGTGTGTCGTTTCCTCGTTCCCTTCTGTGTATTTATAGTGTGCGTGTTCACTCATGTTAGTTGCTAGTCCGTCTGTGTTTCTCCCCTTCGTGTTTCTCCCAGTCGTCCATTCAGGTTCGCTTTGTTAGTCATTCCCAGTTTAGGTCACCTTGAGGTTTTGCTTTACTCGCTCTGTTTGTGCCACCTGTGTTAAATAAAGCTCGCTCACTTCCAAGCCAGTGCCTGCGTCTGGATCCTGTCTCACACTCATCACACGTCTGCCCCCGCAGCCGTGACAATTATGGCTCACAGAGACGGCAAAGATGTTGGTCATCCTACCTTTGGAGTCGACGATGGGGATGGTTTTCAGGGTCGTGGTGTCAAGCAGATGGTTTAATTCCCGAAAGGTGGCTTGAGAAGACAGAAATCTCACTTTGCGCACCATAATGTCCTCCACAAAGATGTTATACTTGCTGGGAATGACGGGATACAACAATAAGCACAGGTTGTCTTTCATGACAGCGGTATGAAAACAAAATAAGGACTTTTAGGTATTTTAACTTTACCTTATGTGCCCAAGGGCCAGCTCAGGCAGGTAGGGTAGCTTCTTCACCTGGATGATGGAGTCGTAGAGAGACGGCTGTAGACCCTGCGCCACCATATTAGCTAAGATGACAGCCACCATCATGGGTAGGATGTGGGAGATTTGACCAGTGAGCTCAAAGCAAATTACTGCTGTGGAAACTGTATGTGTGACGGCCCCCGTCATCGCTGCTGCACCTGTGATGGGGGTGTGATATAATTCCTCCTGATTATTGTACATCGTCATTTTCAGAGGAATGGTTTTGTTTGTTAGTCCACTTAAAACTGACCCATGAGTCAGGCATAAAAAAGACACCAAATAAACCTGTTTCTATCTACAACTTAGCAAAGAGTCCATTTTAAATTGTATCTTTAGACACTTTGTTACTAGCAACCTTGAGTTCAATCTGCAAAAAAATGCAGGCATGAAGTCTATCTCAAAGTCATGCCTTTAATAAAGAGAAAAATATTCAGTAACGATCTGACACAGGACCTGATAAATGTCCTTCATGCCCTTCAGCTGATCATCTTCTGTTCACCGAAGCAAAAATGGACACAGAGGAAGGATGGCTATCAAGAAGCCATTATTAAGGAAGGGAAACTGGTAGAAAAGGCTGAGATATATGAAACTGATGAATCCAAATTGAAATTTTTGGGTCAAATCATCATCTCTACAGTCAACTTAAATGTACTTTTATTCAACCAGCAAGTTTTTTGTTTTGTTTTGTTTTTTTGACTGGAAATGATGATTTTTTTTTATTTTATTTTTTTCCCAGAACGATGCCTCTTCATCGTCTTATCATCTTTTGGGAGACGCCTGTGTCATTTCTGGTCAAAAAAAACAAAAACTTGCCTGTTGAATAAAAGTAACTTTAACTCAAAATTTACCAGGGGTATGAATAATTATGGGCTTGACTGTATATACAGAAAAGGTCAGGAGAGAGGTACAACAGCGAGTGTCTACAGCCGTCTGTAAAACACTGACAAGGCTCTGTCATAGTTCAGGGCTGTGTTTCAGTCACTGGTGTTGGGGATTTTACAGTGAAAAGTACAGTGAGATTTTGATCCACCATGTAACACCATCTGGAAAGTGTCTGATTGGCACTAACTTCATTTTTCAGCATGAAAGTGATCCCAAATGCACCACCAATGCAGTAACAGCATATCTGGATAGAAAATAGAAGAGCCTGGACCTCATCATTATTGAACCAGTGTGAGATCATCTTAACAGAGAATGGGACAAAAGGCAGGGGAACCAGGGGAAGATTACTTAAAGAAATTATAAGAAAGTTTGAAAGAGTTCAGACTGTTGAAACTTTTACTTTTAAGCTCGTTAGAATTGTACAAACTCTGTTTTCTGTGTATTTCAGTGTGGTTGAAAGTTTCAGTAAATCACTACACCTATTTCAGCTAAATAAAACAAACCATCAATTAGCTTTGAAAGCATTATACTATTTATGACACAGTAAATCAGAAACCTTTAGGAGCGTCAAGAGTTTAGTGGTCTTGAGAGGCAGATAAAGTACATCTAGTTTTAAAAAACACTCAGTTGTTATCAAATGTAATATTTTGTAATGACTTTTTAAATTATAATTTGTTTATTTTAGCACACAAACTGATCATTTGGCATGTTGGGGGGTGATTTCTGCTGCTAAATCTGCAGCTTGAACAAGAGAATATAAAACACCAAAAAAGGAAAGAACTTTTCTTAAACTTTTCTTAAATCTACAACTCTTCAAATAGCCTTTGGGGACCTGGGGGAAGGTTAACAGACTGACCAATGACAGCGTAACCTCCTGGCAGGATGCGGTAGACTATCCCATCAAACAAGATTCCATTTGGGAACAGAGTGGCCATGATCTCCCCAACAAGGCGACCGAAAGCAGCTCCTTGAGGAGAGAGATAAGGCACTCTGGTAAAGACAAATTGAACTGAAGATCAGCAGGAGACTCGCATTACAAAATCCTCTTACCTAATATGAACACCGGCATAAAGGCACCTGAGGGGATGGGCATAGTGGTGGAAACTGCTGACATCCAGAACTGCAACACAAAAACAGGATCAAAGTAGGATCGAGACCGATCCCAGAGGTTTTTCACACTATCGCACACAGTGCTTTTCAAGGCAACACCCACTCCATACACAATGTGAGGAGGAGGCAAGGAGGAAGAGATACCTTCATGATGAAGAAGAGGAGAAGGATGATAAAGACACTGACACGAGGATGAAGCCACGCGGCAGAGCGACCCAGGCTGGGGGGAGCAGGGTATTCTGAGATTTTGGTCCAGGTGAAATTATCAAAGAGTGAGTTGATACACTCTCTAGGCATCAGCTGCAAGAGGAAACACAAACACACAGAAAAAAATTGTCCTAAACAAGGTTTACATAAACACAAAATCAGCACATCCTGATGACGCTACATGTTCATAATAAAAAAAACCTAAAATGTGACATGTAGTATAAAAAATATTCAGGAAGAATAGAAATTATATATGTTCCAGTCCATTTACATTAAAAGAACAATCCTATTAATTTACAATCATGCGACAGACAGCCACACTTTCACAGGTAAGGTTTTAGTGTTTGCGGACTTAGTGAAAAGTCACCTGATTCATATCAGGTTTTAAAAAATACCACCAGAAATGAACGTGAAAAAAGTCAGAGAATTAACAAGATTGATGAATTCTGACCTCTCCAGCCATAAACTGTCCAAATCCAGGAGGAAACGTGATGGTGGCGATGATCAATGTCACTGCACCTGGATAGATCAAACGACTGGGACAACACACAGACGGAGACACACACGAGTTCATTAAAAGCAGCAGTGTATCCCCAGAGGACTACAGTTGTCTTGTCATAGAAATAACCAGTGTGTGTGAACCAGCGCTGATTGTAGAGCTCTCTTGATGCTGCTACTCTCTTTTCTCTAATGGTGAAGACTAATGTTCCCTGACTGTTGAGTCTCAGAGGGTAAGTGAATCTCCCCATTGAGTGAATAACTGGCTGAAAGGTTGTTAAGGCTTTGCTGCTGTCCTGACCAGTGTTGTGAGACTGATGAGTTTGGAGAGTGGAGCTGAGAAACATTAAGAGGAATTGGATTTAAATGCACAAATGGTTTCAGTTCCAAGAAACAGTTTCTGCTACCAGAGTCACAGCAGTTTAAGGGCTGAGCGCCACATTAATCCACAGCAGCGGGGAGGTCTCTGTTATGTTTCTGCGTCTGTGTGGGGATCTTACTGTTTGGTTAGAAAGCGTGTAAGAGCCGTAGGCCTTCTCATGAAGAGAACCACCTGTCTGTTCAGGTAAACGAAGAACGCTCCCAAAAAGCCGCACGAGATCCTGAAAGACGAAAGAAAGCTGGGTTAAGGAGCAAGGATGCAGCTTTTACGTGACTATCGCAGATTAAAGGAACCTTCCTGACTCATATTATTTCAACACGAACACATGCAGGCATGCAAGTGCTCACAAAGTCTCCTCACCCTATTATTGCAAATGCAGGCAGCTCTTGAAGGTCAAAGGGAAAATCCATCCGAAAGTTTGTTTTGAAGAGGGCTGTGATTGTGACTGAGAGGAAGAGAGAAATAACTGTTTCACACCAAGTGAACATGTGGTCTCAGTCTGTCATTCCTATGCTAATACTTTGACAACAGGGACAAGATAAATTAAACAAAGTATAACAATAAAAAACAAATACTCCAGTCCGCCTGATGAGTCTGAGCCCATATTTAAGCTCCCTTAGCTGTTTTTATGTCTCCATCAACTCCTGAAGGAAACAAATGATTCTTTATGTGGCTCGTTTCAGTCCACAATGTGCTGCTATGTAATATGCAATGGGTTCCCTAACTTTTAAAAACAACTCTCTCTCTCTGACAGTTTATTAGGTACACCTGTTCAACTGCTTGTTAATGCAAATATTGGCTCATCCAATCACGTGGCAGCAACTCAGTGCATTTGGGCATATAGACACGGCCAAGACAGTTTACTGAAGTTCAAACTGAGCGTAAGAATGAGGAAGAAAAGTGATTTAAGTAATTTTGAACATGGTATGGTTGTTGGTGCTGTACAAGCTGGCCTGAGATCTGGAATTTTCCCATCCAACCACCTGCAGGGTTTGCAGAGATTGGCTGCTTGACACCAGAGATCAGAGGAGAAAGATCACACTGCTTTGAGCTGATTGGAAGGCAGCAGGAACTCAAATAACCAGTGATTATTTGAGCAGAAGAGAATCTCTGAATGCACTTTATGTAGATGGGCTACAGCAGTACAAGGCCACACTGTGTTTCACTCCTGTCAAATAAAAACAGGGACCTCAGGCCTCACCAACATTGAACAATGGAAGATTGAAAAAACCTTGTCTGGCATAATAACATTCAGACATTAGGGTCAGAATTTAGTGCAACCAACACGATTGCATGGATCAGTCCTGCCTTGTATCATCGTTTAGGCTAATGGTGCTGGTGTTTTAATGTGTGGGGGATATTTTCTTGGCACAAGAGTAACAACTGAGCATCATTTAATCACCGCAGCTTACGTGAGTATTGTTACATGCCATGTCTATCCATTCATGACCACACTGTACCCATCTTCTAATGGCAGCTTCCAGGTAAGTAATGTGCTATGTTACAAAGCTCAGATCCTCTCAAACTTGTTTCTCGAATATGCCTCCACAGTCAACATTACTCAATCCAATCCAGCACTTTTGGTATTTGGTGGAACGGGAGATTCACATCATGAATCTGCAGCAGCTGTGTGACGCTATCATAATAATACAGGCCAAAATTGGTGAATCTATGCCATGAAAAATGAAAAAAAAATGAATGAATACTTTCTGAAGGTAAAAACAGCCCAACCCTACCAAGGTGTGCCTAATAAAATGTCCATTAGTTGTATATTAAAAGAGCAGTAAACAGTAAAGTTGCAGGCCTGAAAACCAAAACAATGAAAACAGAGCTTACAGATACTTAAATACTTTGAAGTACTTAAATACTTTGAAGTATTATACTTAAATAATGTAAATACTGATTAACGGAGCTTCAGTGAAGAAGATTCATGAACAGTGTATTCTGAAAAATCGAACCTGATCTAACTGGTTATGTTTGCAATAGAGAAAAAAATTCACCCTGGCACATTTCTGTAATATTTTAACATGAATTCCATGAAACTGAGGTTTCAGACTTTAAAAGATGAAGATTTCCCAAAATCTGTTTGGGTAAGAGTGGCTATGTAATGATCACCCCTTTCTGAGTTATATATTATTTATAAAATTACACTGGAAATGTGAAAATATCTAGTATTGTAATAAAGAGACAGGGTCACCTGAATGCAGCTTGTAGGGATTTTAGGCTACAGGGCTGCTGGGCTGCTTTAAGACTGCGATGACGTATTGAAATATTTCAGGTTTATGTAAAGAAGCAAGTATTACTCAGCTGTCATATTCAGCTACTTTTAATAAACAGCAAGCTCAGCTGTCTTTTTTTCAGTAGTTTGTGTGTATCTGTTGAATATGCATTTCCTCTGCTTCTCACCAGCATCCTTGTTCCAAACAGACAGCACCCGGAATATGAAGGCACTGAATGTGGCGGCAAAGTATCCCCGCCAGTAATTCCTCACCGCAAAGTAGGTAGACGTGACCTCAATACTAAACAGCACCCCTGGTGACGGTGGATCGACAGAAAAAAAGGGGAGGAAGGACAGAGGGAGAGGAGGGATTACAGAGAGGAAGAGCAATGAGGATGGGCAGTGAGAGAAAATGAGGGGGAGGAAGAGGAGAGGAAGAGAAGGGAGAGAGAGAGAGGACGGTATTATGAGTTAAAGCAACAAAATGAATTCAAAAACACTTGAAGCTGAGGGTGTAATTATGCACACCAGGAGAACCACGGGGAGTTAACACACATTCAAACGCAACTAAACACACACTTACATGTAGTTTCGCTCTCTGACACACAAACAGAGACATAATCAGCATGTGAAGCTATAAAACAATAATCAAAGCTGTGTGAAGCTTCTAAAAAAAGATTTAAAAAACATCTTTTGGGACCAACATTATGTCAGCAGTAAATACATTCTAGTTTGTTTTGTATACATCTAGTGACTTAAGTATAGTACTGTGCAAAAATTGTAGGCATTTCAGAAGTTTAGATTCTTATCTGTCACACACCCATCCGCCCTCGGGGAGAGTTTAATCGTCCCAAAATTATTCTGCAGCGTGACAACAGGGCCAAACAATAAGCCGCTGTCATTAAAAGAGCCACATTCGACAGTAAGAGCGGGCCTTGCAGAAGACGGTCTGTCCTTAATCCCCTCAGCTCAGCATTACAGGAAGAGACAAGAGACACTGAGACAGACTAATTACCCAACAAGCACCTTGAAAAGCTGAGAAGTGGTCAAAGTTAACTAAATACTATTCACGGCATTATCTTTCAAACTTTCCATTATTTTTTTAATGCCTAAAACGTTTGCACAGCATTCGATGTTTTGTTGACTTTTGTACTTTGGTTGGTACTTCAGCTCATGATTGTTCGCACTGATAATTAATAAACAGATTATTAACCTATTCAATAAATGATCTATCAAAAAACTGGGATCTTTACAAAGCTTTTGATTAGAAGAGTTTAATTATTGGCTTACTAACTTCAGCCGATTGGACCGTTGAACTGTTTAACCTCTGTTACTAAGGGGGATTTATTGATTTTTAATATGAACCAGTATTGAGTCTTTGAATTACTCACACTCTTTATAACTTTCAAGTAACACTTTATAAAAAATGGAAATTCAATATATTTTATTTGAATTTACAGTGTAATACTACAAATACTTAAGGGCATGTACACTGCAATAAGGGGGTAAAAAGTCAGGTTTTTACAGGAAACAGAGATAATTTTACTGTAAGTAAATTGAAGCACTAAGTACTAAGTTTAGTCTTGCTAGGCAAGATCAATCCACTCCATAATTTGGCCTAAAAAGTGTATTTACAATGTGAAATGGGGAAATATTACCATGAAATTACGCAGAACGTTTATCATTGTGGTCACAGTCACTGGTTTGGAGGAGAGTACCTTGTAAGAGTACATATTGCTTCCACTGAAGGTGTGGCTGACCTGTTTGAGCTATTTGATTGCTCACATGTGTATCTCTTAAAATGGCAACTAAGTGCATATTTGTCACTGGTCTTCAGTGACTGTAACAGTAATGCTCACGTTCAATAATTCACAAATCAGACATATTATATATGTAAAGAAATAAAGACAAGCATAATGTGTCCCCTTTGGGAAACAAACAGGTCTAAGAATCTGATCCAGTACAGGAGGACGGTTGGTGCAGAGGTTGTGGCTGAGAGGCAGTGTGGAAGATGTACAGTACCTCCTAGTGGAGTGCCAAAACAGCATCCCACCCCCACGGCACAGCCAACAGTCAGTATATCTGTGTAACCATAAGGGTTCTACTGACACAGAAAACAGAGAGGGAGGGGGGGAGGGGGGGGGCGGGAAGGTGGAGGGGTGAGTCACAGAGTGAGGGATGAAAGGCAAGAGATGATGAGGGGTGGTGGTGGTGTTGGGGGGGAGGACAATAACAAGAAACATGAGTGTTGACAGAAAGACAGCAGAGTGAGTCGGAAAGAGGGGGAGAGAAAAAAAGATCAAGGTGGTGAGGACAAGAGGGGGACACAGAGGGAGAAATGACAGAAAAGAAAATTGGAATAAAGTGAATAAATAATGTTCACTAGAGTGTGATTAGAAAAGTTATAAAGGAGGGGAAATTACACCACGAGGATATGAAGCAGAGGAGGCGCATGCCAGTGTGAGTATACAGACTTTGAGGAAGCAATTAAGCAATCAGGAAGCAAACCAAGTGGTCACATTGTCCTTGGAGACAGATCCCTGCAACTGATTGCAGACTGAAAATTGAAGGTAGCACACATGAAATACTTCCACTGATTATTCATGACCTTGAATGATGAGCTGCTGTTTAACTTTTTAGGATAGTTTTAAAGGAATAATCTGCAATTCTTGTCTTTCTGCTGAGAGTTAACGTGCGGTGAAAAGTATTAGCCCCCTTCATGATTTCTTACCTTTTTTTTTGCCCATTTGTCACCCTTATGTGTTTTAGCTCATCAAACTAATTTTAATATTATACAAAGATAACCCAGGTAAATAAAAAATCCTGTTTTTAAATGATGATTTCATATTTCAAGGGGAAAAAAGCTATCCAAGCACGCCTAGCAATTGTCCCCCTTGTTAAATAATGAATTACTGTTAGGATGCCTGGGTCGTCGACCCAGGGTTTTTGAGTTTGTGATATTATTTATACTTCCTAGTTTTTGGTTTCTTTGAGTTCTGTCTTATGGCTTATGTCTCTGTCTTCTTTAAGTGCTCTGTCTCCCCTATCACCTGCATCCCCTTGTCTAGTTCGCGTCTATGTGTATCCTAAGTTCCTATATCCCCGTGTTCAGTCAGTGTTTGTGTCTGCCCTGTTCCCACGTCTCTGTTCCCTTTGTAGTGCCTGCATATGAGTCTGTGTCTTTGTTCAGTCTGTGTTATGTGTTTCCTGTTTTACTTTGAAAGTCCATGTCTGATGTTAATGTGTCTGGTTTTGCTTCCTCTTGTCTCTTAGGCCTGATTTGCCCCAGCTGTGTTTCCCTCCTGTTACCCATTCTCTGATTGCTCCCTCTGTGTATTTAAGCCCTGTGTTTCTCTGTGTCTGTGTCGCGATCTACCGTTTATTTTGCTGTGTGTTTTGTCAATCCGCCGGTGTTAGTTTATTTTTGACCTTTTTCCCCCAGTTATGTTATGTTTGAGTTCAGCATTAAAGCTGTTTTGGTTTAAGTTCTGTCTCCGGAGTCTGCACCTTGGGTCCTATTCCTGCCTGCACACAGCCACACCTAACAATTAACTGTGATTACCCACATTTATGTTTTAAAAGCTGAGTTCAGAATGATATCATCATTTAAAAACTGCATTTTGTATGTACTCAAGTTATCTTCATATTCAAGTTTGTTTCATTTGCATGATCTGAAATGTCTATGCATGATAAAAAAATATAAAAGAAAGATAAATACTTTTTTGCAGCACTGTAGATGGAAAAATTGATGCCATATTTATATATGTATGCTAAACATAAAGCTTAAGCCAGCAGGCAGTTGAATTAGCCTAATTCAGTCTTAATGTACCTTCTGGCAAATAAAGCTAATTCACAAGTTCTCATAAAATTAGTCTGAACCATATAAACGACTGACTGTGGGCTATTGTGCAGTAATTCAATTCAATTTGGTTTTATTTATTTAGCGCCAAATCACAACAAATGGGGCCTCAGGGCACTTTATATTATGAGGTAAAGATTCTCCAATAATACACAGATAAATGCGTAACAACATCAACATCGGGGATTCAAATTCAGTTATCCCAACTACATTTACAAAATCCAATATTCACCTGACATTGGTCACTTTTGTGGTGTTTAATGGAGCCTATTATCGCTCCATATTTTTATTATTGTACTCTGCCAGAGGGGTGCCACAGTTTTGTAGCACTGTCACCTCACAACAAACAGAAAGACTACGGGTTCGAAGCAGCTGCAACCAGCAACAACTGGGATGGGCTCCAGCTTCCCTGCAACCCTTAATTGGATAAGTGGGGGGAAAAAATGGATGGATGAATGAAGTCTACTAGAGCAGATCTTCATGACTGAGAGAGCAAACTAATCCTTATTTATCTTATTTAGCTGCCCCCTCAGCTCCTAAACAAGCCTCATTAGCTCCAATCCCCCTCCCTTTAAAGCAGCTATTTTTCTGATTTGCTACCATGTACAAACAAAAGGTTTGAGGAACATCATACTGTCATATTTTCATGACAGACAAGACAGAACAGCAAGTGCCCCCTTTAAAAGCCACCTCATGATTTAAGGAGGCATCCATACAAAACATCCATACAGGGCAATTTGATTATCTGCACATGTGCACAGTTGTCAGCAAAAACAAAGTGGATCTGCGCTCCATATTTGTTTTATTCTACATCCTCGGCCCTGACTGCTAATTTGTATTTCTTATCCTGACCTTTGCATCACGTCAATTCAATTCAATTCAATTCAATTTTATTTATATAGCGCCAAATCACAACAAAAGTCGCCTCAAGGCGCTTCATAGATACAGAGAAAAACCCAACAATCATATGACCCCCTACGTCCAGTCAGAAAGAAAAGAAAAGCAGCTCTTCCGTGATTTTGCTTTCATATTTCCTAGAGTTTAAATGTGGATTGTGTCAGACTATAACCTTGTGAAAACACACTATGTTTCAGTAGCACAAAATGTATGCAAATGAAGAGCCAGCACCTTTAAAATATCCATTGCAGGTGTAGCATTGATACTGATTCTAAATATAAATCTTTGAATAGTGGTTTAGTTCACTTTCAAGTAGTGCAGCACACTGATGTCAGGCCAGTTTTAACCTCCAAATTAATTGTAACTGATGTTTCTTGATGAGGTCAAAGCCGACCTGAGGCCGAGCGAGCAGAGCGGGACTTGCCTCCGATCGGGGCACCGAAACAAGTGGCTACTCCTACAGCACACGCACACACCAGCAGGTCCTGGTTATGGGAGCCATTCTGGGTTAAAGGTCAAGGGTGAATGCAGAGATGAATGAGAAAGCCAAGGGGAGGGAAGGGGGGGGAGGGAAAGAGGGAGACAGGGAGGTCACTGTTAATACACATGCCAGACATAACGGTCACACTATTAATACAGTGAGACAAACACAGACGAGGCGTGAGGGGGCGAACCAAAACAAAGACACGGGAGAAACGGGGAGGGGCTGGCGTGAGCTGGATGGCAGAGACAGAACACAGCCACGGGGTTCCCACTTTTTCATTAGTGTTAAAGTTCTTTCAGCAAATTTCAGGGACTCAAAAGTGGCTTCATTTAAAATTCTATAATTAAGGGTTCAAGTTCAAGGACCCTGATATGAATGCTCAACACTGACCTGTTGATATTACAGTTACAGCGTTCTGCTCTCCCAATCATCGTCTACCATGGTGCTATGGTAACATTTAAGAAACAAAGCAAGGTTCTCAGGGATGTTGAGATAAATGGCACTAAATTTAGAATGAGATAATTGTACATATCTAGAAATACCTGAACTTTTTCTGTTTTTCAGATTCTAAAAAATAATGAGAATAATAGTGAGAAAAATAGTGGGAACCCTGTAATTACAACAAAGATGTCAACAACACCATAAGTTATTACAAAAACACTGCATTCTTCATTTAAATCAGCATGTTGACTGCAGTCAGTAAAGAGATGGGGGGTTGTGGGTAATGTAGTCGGCTTTGGTCAGGGGCTCAGCTTACCTCGTAGACTCCAGAGAAGATGGACATGAATCGACTCAACACTGCGGCGCAGATGCTGGCAATGTGGACAAAGGGACCCTGGGGGTGATGGGAGGACATTACTGACACAGATATGAGTGACGTGTAATGTTATCTACAGAGACACAGAGTGCTGTCTGTAAAAACAGAGAGTCTAAACTGGGACACATTTTATCAGAACTGATAAATCACTGTGTAATTACTGGATGTGACACTTTCCATGCTACTGTAATAAGGAAAACGAATGTGGTTCTTTGCTGAGGACTGGAGTAATTTGCCTCAGTCCCGTGAGAAGAGGGCGAGAGGAACAACATGACAGAAGATGATTTATTACCCCCTCCCAGTTGGAGAGTGAGACAGAAAAAGGACTGAAGATGTGGAACAAGATGCTGAATGAGTAGGGATAGACACAGAAGCACAAGTAGTAAGGAGGTGAAAATACGTGTTTGCTTCAGTGCTGGATTTAATGCAATGCAAAGCAATGGGCTAGAGTACTCAGATTACTCTGTAGTAATTTAGTAGTTATTTCCTATCTTATTCATAGCCTTTCCTTTTTTTGTTTTCTTTAGGTCACGAGCAGTTGTCCAAGCATTTCACTACATATCGTATTGTGTATGACTGTGTACGTGACAAATAAAATTTGAATTTGAATTTGAATTTGAATTTGAATTTAGTAAAACACCCTGTTAGCTTTGCAAACAATCGCTTATTAAGCTGTTTTTTAAATATGTGTTATTATTAACATATTACCACATTTTCCTTCTCTTTTGCAGTGAGGAAAGAATAATATTTTTCTACATCCCTGTGAATCCTTGGCATGCATAGTGGAATGTATCTAATCCTACAGTTGTGTTAGTGCTGTAGACTGATGCAGCTCCTGGGTCTGCAAAATGAAGCCAGTGCACAAGTTTCTTAAAAGTTCCCTGTTGTATAAAAGTCTGTCATAAACGGCCCTTTTTGCTCCTTAACCTCAGTAAACACCCATGACTCCTATTAGTAGATAAAGCAGGTTTATGCCTTACACACTATTATCCAGCAGAACCTATGGTGAGTGCAAATATTAAGATCAGCTTTTGTGACGACAGACAGGGTGGATGTTACATTGCTGAGGTATTTGAATTATTATCATTGAGTGTATTTGAGCTGCCAAGGAGCTCTATGTCATATTTTTAAAAAACATCTGTAAGCTAAAACACTGGTAGTGAAGCAAACTGAGCAGATGAATGATGCTGGTGCTAAACCTGTCACTATGAGGGAAATGAATAAGCTTGTTCCTGTTTTATGGTGGAGGAAATGCTGCCAGTACCAACTTGCTTTGAAATGAGGTAAAGTTAACATAGTCAGAAGTAGAGCGGTAGAGGCTGATCTACTCTAAAGAGTTTCCTCAGTCGGAAACACTGTAACACAACTGATCTTGTAATGTAACACGATAGTTTTTAAAGTAATGTTGCCTAACACGGGGGTTTACCTCTTTGCCCACAGGCATCCCACTGCCCAGGCCAGCGGTTAGGCCGATGACTTTAGCTATGAAGGCTTTAAGGGTCAGATATTCTTTTAAGACTACACCTCTCAGGATGGTTTTCAGCTCAGGGATACCAGAACCTGTATTTAAAAGAGAGAGAGAGAAGTTATAATGTCAGTACTTTACAATAGACAAAATGAGAAAAAAGAAGCAAATACAGGAGGAAATATAATGAGAGAGGATAATAGAGGCTGACAGGTGATGGAGGGCTTACCGATGGCCTGCGGGGAAACCAGGTGACAGAAGAGCGAGGCGAACATGACAAGGATCATGGGATACGTAACCCAGGCGAGGTACTGGAGCAGTACATTGCCCTTAAGCTCCCCATGCACCCATTTATAGGCTGCAAGACAGAATAACAGTAGAAACAGAAAAAAACAAGAACAGGAAAAAAAGCACATTACACAAAGGAGCAGTGCAGAGAAAAACTGGAGATTTGAAATGGCAATAATCTCCATAACAGCTCTACCTTGCAGGCTCTTGGCACTAGCATAGTCCATACTCCAGCTAACTAGAGCCATAGTCAGTCCCAGAAGAACCAGGAAAATCCAGTCCTCTCCCATTTTTGTCACTATGTAGCGCCGCACACGAGCCAAACAATCTGGAACAGAGAGATAAAATCAAAGAGTCAGGGAGTCACTTAGTGAGATCATGGATGAAACAGATGCAGTAAATAAAGTAAATGTAGACTGATAAGTACAGATTAACTCAGTCAAATAGTCAACAAATGCAACATGAAAGATCACAAAGTCAAAGCAGTGTAATTATTTACACAGATAGAGGTGACACTCCTATAATATAAGAATCTCAATATTCCCTGCACTAACTCCCACTTGATACAAACTGCATATTTATTTTCCTTCTTAAAATCATTGGAATTGGCTGAAACAATGACGATGAGGATCCTGATTTGAGGGGCCCTCTAGGTCAGTTTAAAAAAACTCAGCTGCAGTCACTCAAAATGTATTAAAGTCAAAATAGAAATTACAGCAAAACCTAAAACAGCAGCAAGAAGGTCAGAGAGGAGACTCAACCTCCCTGACACCATGTCAACATAAATACACACCAACAGTTCAACTCTGTGCACATGTTCACAATACTGAGCACAACTCCTTCAAGTGCTTACTCTAAAGTCCCTCTTATGTCATAATCATCTGCATTTATAGCGTCCAAAATATAGCTACAAAATATCTTCTATACCTTAAGATTTGGGTAAATGTTTTGAGTCTTGCACCTTTAGAGATTTTCTTTTTATAACTCTGGGTAGGTTACATTTAGATACCCCATCGCAGTAGCCCTTAAGTTCAAGTGGTATTAAGTCTAAGTGCCTCGTGTAGCCTGATTAAACTACCGTGCTGCCTCATATTTTATGAGCTCATCATGTTGCATGTAAAATCATAATGTGCAAAGTAACCAGAAATTGAAACCATTAGACAAATGCAAAGCTTCACTCTTTGAAAAGTCATGTAATAAAACAACAAAGTGTGTGGAAGTGGCAAAGCAGCCAAATGTTTCCATATACATTTTCATGGTAAATGGCCTGTATTTATATAGCGCTTTTCATAACCACATGCTGGTCACCTTGGCATTTGGAGTAGGGACGAGGCTTCTTGGTGGAGGAGGCATGGCTGTGATGCGACTCCAGGGTCACAGGGTGCTGATGATGATGCCGCCGGCCGTGGCCTTTGCGGCCTGTGGCTGCGGTATTGTCCCCTGCCTGTCTTCTCCATTGTCTCTCTGTCAGTAAACGGGCAGCCTCCCGTCGGGCGAAGTTTCCCAGCTGCTCCCTGTACTCTCCGTAGAGCTGTAACCAAGGGGACACACTGGCAATCACTATGAAACGAAAAGCACCCAGTCGAGAAATCATGTGTTTCTTGGGCTGCACAGAAGAGAAACAACACGCTAGAATGGAGAGGAGGGAGAGAACGAAAAACAGGCGAAATACCTCTGACAACTGAGACTTGGAAGAAGGATAAAACTGGATCTAGTGTGAAGAGTCTTGAGATAACGAGAAAGAGATGGGGAATGTGTGGCGTGTATGTAAGGGATACACACCAACCTGAATAGCCTGACAGACAGAAATAGACAAAATGGGCATAGAGATTGGAAAATCCCCGCCCTGAGCAAAGGAACGGTCTGGAAAAAAGCCAGAGGAAGATATTCGGAAAGAGAGGACATTCCACACGTTCCACTTCCGACTGCGTGTGCACTTTACACCTATGACTACACAGACACCTACACACATGCTGTCAAACACACACACATACATTCGGTCAGCTTGCACCGGACTCGTTAAAACTGTAGAAGCTGTAAAATACTGCAGATCCGGATGCAGCTATGGTGTGTGCAACTGAAACCTACAGATCACATGCATCCCACCACACAGCAAAGCAAGAACCTGAATCATACAGAGAGCTGGCTGCCACACATTTCTGTCTCATGTTCACACAGGAAAGGAGAGCGGCCACATCCAACCATGAGGCCCAACTAAGACAAAAGCTCGGCTAACTGCACATAATTATGTGCTGGTGAAATGAAAGAAAGGTGAGACAAAAATCCACAATCTCATCTTCTCTAAAAGTCTTTACGTCTACAGAGCGCAAGTTCATTTTTCTCCAGTTCAAGTGCACACAAAAAACAGCCTCACATAACCAGTCCACTGCAATACATGACTCACTACAACCACATGACAACGTGACTGATATAGAAGTTTATAATTAATACATGAATATACCACATAGCAGGTGGCCAAGCAGTTACTGCTGGAGGCTTTTGAAAACCTTTGATGCCTCTAAATCGTCGAGGAGGTTATTTTAAATCTCACTAAACACCACAAACCACAAACTGTTATTCAGAACAATGCTGCACCACTAACAGCTTAATACTCCTGTCCTTCAGCCCCGTAAAACCTGAGCTAACAGCAGGAGAAACAAAGTATTGTCAGTTATTTGTTAATATGCAAAGAGCTGGTTGAATATTACCTCCTCAAAACGGGTTGCAAGAGTTTGCATCACGCAGGAAAACTTATATTTAAAGTAAGTTACATACAAGTTTTTCTGTGTGATGTGAAGATGGAAACTGATGAAAGTTTTTGCAACGGAAAACTTCTCCTGAGTTCTGCTGCGATTATTTCTTCCAAAGGTTATGTTTTTTGATAGCAACTGAAGGTACCGTCTTGTTTCTATCTGCATACACCCACTGGACACTTTATTAGACACACCTGTTCAGCGGCACGGGCAATGTATTATTTATATAATACATTTAATTCATTATATGTAAACTCAGTAGCACAAAAGATAAAAATACAAAACCCCATTTAGGTTTACAGTGCCTCAAGACAATGAAAACAGCAAAATAAAACATTAAAAAACACAGGTGTAGACCTGTGTGAACAAAAGGGTCTTGAGTCTGTTTTTTGAATGTTGGCACAGATGTAACTGATCTCAGGTCAGCAGAAAGCTTGGAACAGGACTACAGGAACTGAAAGCACTCTCAGCTAAAGAAGAAAACCAGAGAGGTGGAGTGTGCGGAGGAGCTTTGTGAACACATGAGATTACCATCTAAGATCAAACTGACTGTCAGTCTCTGACTTTTTGGACCAACAACAATATTTCTGTCTTGTCTCTGTTCAGTTCTAAAAAGTTCCGAGACAACCAGCAGTTGATGTCATTAATGCAGCTCATTAGCTAATAAACAGAGGTCAGATCTTCAGAGGAAACTGATAGGTACAACTGTATATCATCTGCATAAGAGTGGTAGGATATATTATGATTTGTTATGACAGTACCAACTGGGAAAATGTAAATTTTAAAGAGTAATGAACTGAGGACAGACTCTTAAGGAAACATAAAACTCTCTATCCTTCAGGTATGATCAAGAGTCTGAACTGTTAGACCATCTGAGTCATGAAGCCTTTGAATCAAAATGTGTCACTGCTGTCAGAACAAAAAAAGGAGGCTACAGTACGGGTTCATCATAACTGGACAACAGAGGAAACACTTTGGCGATGGTGGGGTCAGAATTTGGTCAGAATTTTCAACACCTTCAGGTGCTGGTGATGGTGTAATGGTCTGGGGGATCCTTTCTTGGCACATTTTGGCTTCTTTAACAATTTAAATGTTCTAGCCTACCTGAATGTCTTCTAATGGCTGCTTCTAGCAAAACAAAGCACAAAGCTAAAATCATCTCAAACTGATTTCTTGAGCCTGATGTTGAGTTCACTGTAGTCCACAGTGAACTCAAAGGCCTCCACAGTCACCAGAAGTCAGTCCAATAGAGCACCTTAGGGATGTGGTGGAATTAGAGATTCACATCATGGATGTGCAGCCAATAAATCTGCAGCTAGTGTGTTGCTCTCATGTCAAGGAAGGAATGTTTCCAACACTTGAATCTGTGTCTGAAATGAATAATTAAAGCGTTTCTGAAGGCAAAAAGGTGTCCAACCAGTACTAGCAAGGTGTATCTAATGAAGTGGCCAGCGAGTCTATGTATAAGCACATAGGAGGATCTTTTCCTATCACTTTTTTAAATACAGAATTTAATTTAATTTCACACAAATGTCTGTCCAAGTTGTGAACAATGGATGAACATAGTGAGGGACTATTTTATGCACTAAGATAATATATTATGAAATGTTAGATTATTGTTTATAAATTTGTTCAAATTTACTCAATAAATAATTAGCAAAGAAAAAAACCCTCCATGTTTGTTAGAGTTTTGTTATTCTGACGATGGAAACAACCTAGGTAAGGGGATTAAGTAAAAGAAATAAAACATATGACAAGAAAATAGAGCTGTGCTAAAAAGATATCGTACTGAAGAATTTTCTGCTGCAAGTAAAGATAAAACGGTCTCCACTCATGACACTGACATATCTTATTTTCCTTTCTTTGTCTACAACCTTAAAAATGAGGAATGAATCCGTCAGTGAGCTGTTTGTGATTGTTTTTTGTCTGCACTACAAACGAATAAAAATGTTCTAATGTGAAAAAACATGTTTTGATTTCGGGGCAAACCAGTTTACCTTCACATTTTGCTGCTTTAAAGGCAACAAGGACTCACATACTTTTACAGTTCTTCAGTCTAGCAAAAGATCACAGAGGTCACTGCTGATTACTTTCTAATTTCACCGCCTGCAAATGTATCACACAAATAACAGTGACCTCTGTCATCTTCCGCTGTATGGAAGAACAGGGCAGGTAAACAAGCCGTATTTTCATACGTTTATTAAAAAAACAGCAAATATTTAACAATATGGTTTTACAATACAGGTTTCTTGATTTTATATGTTGGAAAAAAGAGCTACGAAAAGAAATAGAGATTCAAATTCAGTGCATGCATATGATCCATAGTGAATTTTGAAGATTAGAGAAAGACAGCAGAGGGCTGTGTAATTAAGTCATGGCAGAGAAAACAGAAAAAAGAATCAACCTCTGACGAGCTACAGCCTTCGGTCCTCATGTCTTTACCTGGTTCTCATCACCTGTCTGTTGCATGATGCTGCAGCAGCTCTGTCTCTGTTCTGTCTCCGTGTCCCGCACTGCACGCAAATTCACCACTGCACTACACATTAGCACCAAAGCCCTAATCCATCAACATCATCAAACAGCCGCTGGCACCAGACACCATCAAAACCAGGGACAGAAACAACAGAAACCTGTGCACTGTTCATAGAGAGAGAGGAAAAAATGTGACCTCCCATGCCCTGCCTCAAGGAAAAGAGAAAAATAACTGCAGCACAGTTGATGATGTCTTTCAAGCTTCTTCTTCCTAGTGTCTATCCTTGTTGAATAGGTGTGTTGCGTATGAACACGGCTGACAGATCATGACCATTGTTTAAAAGATAATACCCAACCCACTCCCAGATTGAGCCTGGGACCCATTTAACATAATTAGACATTTTTTATTCTACACTTTCCCTCAGTTCAAATGAGATCCAGGTTGCCTTGAAGCTGCTGATGGAGCCTCAAAATGAGCCGAGTGACCTTCAGATGTCTGATAAGATTTTTTTTTCACTACCACTCTGTGAACCTCAAACGAATTACAAATCTCATGTTGTGTAAATATAATCTTTAAAAGTAAATATCTTAACATATTCTTCTTGTTTTAAAGTAATTATTTTTAATTAACTGGAATTATTACTCAGCCAAATCCCACTTAAGTATAATTTTACTGGTCTTATCACTTTCACTAAAGAGGTTGTGTTTCTGGCAACGTTTGTATGTGTGTGTGTGTCATTCTGCCTGTAAACACGAGAGCTCAAAAAGAGTTTAATGAATTCTGATAAAACTTTGTAGGGGTGCAGAGGGGATCCATTAACATTTGGCTTACATTCACCAAAGTCTTCAAGGTCAACTTGAGGATTTATTGGTCAAAAATCTTAAAAGTGTGGTGTTTACTGTCAACATATAGAAAGTACTGTGTAAGGATTTAAAATATCGTGTCACGTTTGACCTCTGACCTCTCATTCAAGATCAACAGATCGATCAAAGGGATAAATCAGTGATTGCTGCTATTAATTATTTAATTAATTAATTACGTTTTATATCATCTACATAGTGCAGTGGATGCACCTCCTTCTTCTGCTGAGTTTTACTTGTTTGCTTGCTCAAAATCTCAAAAAGTCTAAAATCTTTGTTGTTTCAATCTCTTTATCTTTGTGTTTTATCTTAGTTTGGGGTTTTTGCGTTTGTCTTCACGTCACAATCAAAAACAAATTCAACAAGTGTGAAAAGTTTATTCAAAAATGTCATATTTGGGCATTTTTGGACTATTAATAAAGAGAAATTCACGATGTCACTTTGG